GTACTTTCTTACCCAGAAATTGAAGGTACCATCATTTCTTTTTGACAGACTTGGCTAAAATACTGTTGCACCTGAGCTGCTGTCCAGTTTGGAGAGCTGGCTCTGTCTTGCCAGGTGAGCGCTGTATTGGCCACCTTCCTACTACCAGCTGCCTACCTTACACTTACCACACTGCACAGCCCACCTACGTCCTTCTTTTGAGACCAAACACAAGCACAGTGTTCAATCATGACCTGACAGTATAAAAAAGACAAAATTAGCAAGTGGAGTAATGTTTTACTTGCTCGGCACTCATTAAAGTGTTGATATATCCAGGCAGCAGGAGTTCCAAGACTTCCCTCTTATCCCATGGCAGTATTGGGCAAGGGGGCTTGTCCAAAACTACAAAGTATCACCTTCTGTAAAATTTTTGTGGCATCCTGACCATTGTTTTGTCTTTATCCCCCTGGCTACTAATAATTTTTCATAATTGCTTCTGAAAAGACACCCATTGCAAACTATTTACTGATTTCTAGTTGTATTGATTTTCCCTTGAGTCTCTCAAAAGCAGTCATCGCTTTTGCTATCTTTCTTTTCTCTGATACTAAGGCTGATTTTAGCAGTAAGTTACACATCCCAGTTAGTAGTTCAATGAACCCATATCAGAGCTCGTGTAAACTCTGATACCATTTGGTGGATATCACAGGTAAATATCCTGTGGTTAATTACCCTGTTGTATTTTCCACAGCACAGAAGTTGAAAGAAAACGCAATGGACGGACACTTACACAATTAAAACATTATCTATAGAGCTTTCAGTATAAACTGTCAAAATGTATGGTAATGATTCACCAACTCATCTCTCTGTTGTAGTCAGTATGATGTAAAAATGCCATCTAAACAATTATTTAAATACATAAGTGCTCATCCATTGCTATTTCTTTAAATGATAAACACAAAAATAAAGAAATCTCCAATGTTATTCTTTAATTTCTGAAAAGCACTGTAAAGGATGAACAAAAAGTGCTGGATCTTAGGCACGATATATTTTCAAACAGCCAGTTTCCATCCATGTGTGTCAGTCTTTCCTTCTTCTCACACATTTGTACTGAACTGTAGTGAAATCACTTTGTTATTTTCAGGGTGTGCTGCCAGTTTGCAGCCCATGCCATGACACAGCATTCCTCCTGCTTTGTTTTGGCTGCTATTCTTTTTGAACTGACATTTAGCAACATTACATTAATGCCTGCCTAATACAAGACTCCTTGTTGAATGCCATTAGCTGAAGTTGCAAGTTTTAGGCACAGGCATGAGTGGGGTGTGGGTTAACCCTAGAAGGGAGTTCCCCCCTTCCTTTGGGATGTATGGCTTGTTTTGCCACAGAGCTTCACTTCACACCACTGAGGTCAAGGGAAACTTCCTTACTCAATTGGGTAGACCTGAATCAGAATTGCAGTATAACGTATACTGCAAGTATAAAACTGGATGTTTGTTACTTGATCAATGAGGATACATCTTTAAATTATCAGCTAATGCTCTTTTAAAGTCATCTCAGTAAAAAGTTTTTCACAACAAACAATCCACTGCACCAAAGGAGGCAGCTTTTGCTAGTAGAGGCTTATAGCTGTTAGCTGGATAGGTGAGCTAAATAGTGAATGTTTGTTTTCTACTTAGCGAATGTCTGTCATAGCTCTGTTAAGTAGCCAGAAACAAATTACGTGTGAAAGTCAGCATCCCTCTCCCTCTCTCCTGTGATTTGTATTGATTTATGCAGCTCATGTCCTTAATTTAATTATCAGGAATATGCTTATTTTACAAATGATAACCTTGTAATCTCCCCAGCAGCAAAAAAAAAAAAAAAAAAAAAAAAAAAAAAAAAAAAAAAAAAAAAAAACAACATTTTTAACATCCCTCTGGCTACTAATGCTATTGGAAGTATGCTATTCTTTGTTGCACATAATTTTATTACCAATGTTGTAGTGGACCTCCATTTATTAAAAACTAGATTAGTCTTTCTGATTATTTCTATTAACTTAAAAGTGGATTTTATTTACATAAAATAAATAGGAAAGCCACAGAAATATCCTGAAGTTGTGTGTCACTAAACAGCCTTCTTTGGTAGCTAATTTTTGAGTGCTTCTATCAATTATAAAACAAAGTAATGTTGAACGTTTTTAATGTATTTTTTTTTTAACAGACTAACTGCATGGGTTCTCCCCCAGCATCACTGTTTTGAACTAAATTGTAAACTGTCTGCTTCAGTGAAATTTCATAGATGTCTCAAAAGTGAATGGATATTGATAGTTAGCAGAGGTATGTTTAAAAACACACATATATATATATATTTATATATATACACACTTGTGTAGGCTGCTCTAGAGCTGTGGATGTTGTATTTTCTCTGATTCTCCAGCACAGCATATAGAGAACCCATGCTCATTCTGCCTAAAATGGGTATTTATATAAAATGGGGTGAGTTCATGCCCTCTTCCTTTTTATCATATATATATATCCTTTAGTGCACTCTCCCCACCAACATAAAGGCATATATTTATGGATGGTCAGATGCAACGACAATTCTGTTAATGCAGCAGCTTGTATAGGTTGGTGCCCGGCCATGTCCCTGTGAAGTCAGTAGACATCTGTAGAGCTAGAGGGGCTTTCCACAGTATCAAAGGTGTGACAGCGTGTTTGATAATCCTATGAATAGAACCAGAATAAATTGGAAAGCAGATGCATATTTGCTTCCATTTTTTTTTTCTTAATTAACTTTGGAGAGTGTAAACAATGAACAAATGCATATTTATACTGCATCATCTTTCCAAATTCTAAAGGAAAGAAACCTCAGATTTATATCACCAGGAGGAGTGAATTTCTGACCTGCCACTGTGGTACTCTGGGAAGTGGGTAGCTAGAGCAACCCACATGAACAGCTTTTTTACTAAATGCATGTATGTTGCTTGCTAGTGCATCTGTTGCTTTTCTTTAAGTGTCACAAGGTGATTACAGTAGAATATTTTTGTGACTATTCATCTAAAATTCACTGTGGTTTATTTGATGACTGCACTGGTAGCCTTATATATTTTCTGTGATTGTTCTGCAGAAGAACAATTGTTTAAATAGTGAGCCTTAAACTAATAATGTAGCATGCACTTCCAAGCACATGTATACCCCATTTCTGAAAGGTCACTCATTCGAACTCACCTGACTTGCAAGCAGCAAGTACCAGGAGAGCCTTTTTCTACCAGTAAAAACCCAGAAAGGCATTTGTTGATATTTCAGCCTTTATTCACAAAATATTTTAACTAATCTATTTTTCCGTTCTTACTTTTGCTGATTACATATGATTACAAATAAGCTGAAGCTTACAGGGTCCTAATAAGTCATAATAATATGTGTTAATTATTCTACTTAGGTCACCCAGGTATGCATAGAAGGACTTTCTTTAGGAGAATGGTACTTACAGTCAGATTTCCAGTGTGAACATTGCCATAGTGATTTTTATTTGGTAAAATAAAATGTAAAAGCCCCAGACCGAAAGGAAATGTCTTCATTTTCACCCTCAGGGAAAGAATTTTTGATAGACAAAAATTTTTGATAGATTTTCAACACATAAATTGCTGTGGTTGCATTTACTTTTCTCTCCTATATTTTGGTTTAAGATGTATTCCAAAACTATAACATTTACTGAACAAGCTCTAATCTGGCACAGCTAGAGGGGCAATCAAATGAAGTGCATGATTCCATGAAGTCATATTCTTTGCTATTTACTAACCATTAATCCAAATATTTACCCCAGGAGCTCTTTGCCAAGGCATGAAATAAAATGGTATTTTATAGCTAGAACACCTATTCTATAATTCAAATATTTATATAAATATTAAAATAAGCAGAAAAATAACAAGAATTATTTTAAAGTAAGCAACTGTCTTGTATGTGACTAGTAGTATCAGAAAAAAGTTTTTTTTCTGTCAGAAGACAGTAAATGTCTGAACTTCAAGGTCAAAGAGTTTGAATTATCATACTATGTAATTTCTTACTTATTTATTTTTTAAATAGATCTGACTTCAGCAGTGTTTCTGTATTCAAGTCATTTAAAATACAAGTGCTATTTAACATGAGAGAGGTAGAGATGACCATCTATATAGATATTTTTCTGCCTAAAACATACTTTGCTTATTTATTTCTTTTGTGGCATACCTTCTCTGCACGGCATGAGACTATCATAGCTATAACTTCAATAGTTCTATAAATACATAAGTGCCTTTCCTTGATCATCCTAAGCTTGTTAAAAATCCTGCACTGAATTGCCTACGCTGTGATTGCCAAAACAGATATGATCCACTGAATCACATCTGATAACGTATCAGTGGGCACAAAGGACTTGTTCTTTATGCTTTTCTCAGAGGTAAACAGACTCTTGATGGTCCAATTCTGCTTCCATTGCAGCCTGTGGCTGGTACAACTTGCTCTTCAGAGGGATGCGTGTGATAACCCTTCACTTCTGTGGCTGGCTGGAAGCTGGTTCAGTTCCCTCTGCAACCCCGGGGCATTCGGGAAAGAAGCTGCACAGAACTGAGGGAAATGAGGTGTGTGGATGAGAGTAAAGCACAGGGAAGCGAGAAGGTCTGCGCTCACCTGGAAAGGGTTTTGGACTTCATGCAAAAGATGAAAACCAAGGGTGGGTTTCACCCAACAAGTGAGAAAATAAACCCACCCTGACAAGCGTGTAGCAGATAGTCTGTGCACGTTGCCATTGCCATAACAAGTTTCAGAGAAAGACAAAGAGCAGGAAAGAAGGCAGAAAATGTGAGGATGGTTGGGGTAACACAACAACAGGGGAACAGAAAATCAAGTAGGAGTTTGAGGGTAAAGAAGAAATAAGGAACCAAGAGGAAAGGTGTCAAACACCGGGAGGAGGAGGCCGCACACGGGCAGGGCCGCCGGGGACAGGCAGTGCCAGTCACCCAGCCCGCCACAGGAAGGTCAAAAACAAGGCAAAGAGCAACCCGGGTCATTTTCCTTATGGCTGTGGAAAAGCTGCAATAAACAGCAGCCAACGTTAGGGCTGTGCCTCCTTGCGGTTTCAGTGTGGGCCAAACTGGCCTACCCGCACGGGCAGTGCCGTTCCGGGAGCAAGCACCGCGGGCAGCCCTGGGTCATCGTCCCAGGGTAACCGCGCACCGCGTGCTGGCGCCGGCGGCATCGGTGCTGTTATCTTGCTGCAAGGAAAGGCACCAGCGAGGGGACAGAGAGGGACCGTGTGGGTGAGACACCGGCCCAACCGCCTCAGTTAATGTGTAACCGTGGATGGGCGAGCTCCTGTGCACGGTAGCACTAGGGCTCTCTGCGGCTGGTATCGGAGTGGGATCCGGCGTGGGAGGCGAGCGCCCCGGAGCTGTACCCCACCAGGTAACACGAAGGCACCCTGGTGGTTAGCACTAGGAGGGAGGGGAGAGGAGAAGGTGCCCCGTCCTGGCAGAGCATGGTTCTTACATTGGAGGGTGCCTGGTTGAGGACCTCCTTGGTCTTCCTCCTCTATGGGGCTGCCCTGCTGCATGTGCTGGGAGGGGGCTTGGAGATGGGGAGCGGCTGGGTGTCAGCGAGGATGGTGGGCATAGGGAGGGTGATGAGGCAGGGCCTGGCTCCTGTGGAGGCCACCTGCCTGCCTGTGATGCTGAGGTGTCTGCTGGCATGGGGTTATGCACACCCTGGAAAAGGGCTCAGAGCAGGTCAGGCAATGTGGAACAGCTTCTGAAAGAGGCTAGCCCCACAAAAGGTGCAAAACGTTACCTCAAGCGTGGAGAGCTACACAGCTAACATTTCTTCTAAACTGCTTTAACAAGGTCCCCACAAGGTTGGGGTCTCTCCGATGCCTAATGGATGCTGGTCCTGCAGGTGTTACTCCCTTCCTTCTCACAAGCACCCTTAACCTCAAAGACATTAAACAGCTGTATTGGCCCCAGCTAACATTGCAAACACTTTTCTTGAAGGCACTGGAAGCAAACAGATGTAGCTGTGGAGATAATGAGAAAGGATGTAAATAGTAGCTCACCAGAAACCATGGAGTTTTACCAAGTGGCTTTGACACTTACCAAATACCTTTAAGCTGATAAAGATCTGATTTGTACTTCAGAGGTAACCTGATTAGCAACCAGTTTGAATCTGGAATATGTTAATTGGTACAAACATCACTAAATCACTTTCTTTAACCTATATGAAGTAGTGTGAATGAACGATAGTGAAGGTCAACATAGCCTGGGGAGTCATAGAGAATGAGTACTCCTCTATCTACCCACAATAAAATAGTATGAATAGCAATAAAATGTAATTGTATGTGCACACAAAGAATGACACTAGAAAGCACCCAAGGTCAAACCAGCATTCAAAATTTAAGAAAAACAGAACTAAGTATGCACATGCAACCAAAGTCTGGCCATGCGCCATGCTTTTTGTCAGGGGTCCTGCCCAGTATGGACTGCTTGCTAAGTGAGCACCAGTTTCTAGTTTTGCTTTGCTCAGCCAGAAGGTGTGTGGCTTACTGACAACATGCTGTGAGGAAATACATGCTTGTCTTCTCATGAGCTTTCCATAACTCTCACAAGTTCAGTAGCTCTGTGTTTCACAAATATTAATGTATATATTTTGAACACTATTTAATGGCAACTTGCAAACTGGGAGCTGAAGCACAGAGACACCAGTGACAAAAAGGTGCAGTAATGTAATCTGCCCAGGTTGAAACATTCTCAGCTCAACATTTGATAGTGCTTGACATTAGCAAGGACATAATTTCTATTCACCACACAGCTGCGACTGATTTCAGTTTTGTGTGCTCACCTTGTTTGCCACACTTTGTGGTGTCCTGTTGGGCATCCAGAAAGGAAGGGCTGGACCATTTGTTACACCTCATTGCTGGCATCACAGGTGACCTGGTGGCAGAGGTGACACTAACATCTGATTCTTTAGTGTGACACTGGACTATTCTCTCCTCAGAAACCTTAAAAAGGAAAAAAACAGTCAATATGTTCTATGAACGTGATTAACCAACTTCTTTTTAATTTACAACAAAATTTAGAATGTAGCAAATTGTCATTGTTTTATATTAAGTAATTGTCTGCCTTAAGTGGCTGAATGTAGGCACTTCTGGGCATGATAGTAAGCTCTTTTTTTTTTTTAAGTAATCAATTAAAAAAACAAACAGGACAGGGTAATATTTCTTGTTTAAAGTCTGTAAATCATGCCTGGAGTGCAGGAAACTGGAATTGTGCTATGTCTTCCTTTCATGTGCTGAATTGTCTGAAAACAGCTAGTATTACAATCTTTCACAACTCCATCCATGTTTAGATCACTTAGTAGAAAGCAACAATAATTTGTGTTGTACAAAGTGAGGTGCAGTGCTTTAGGGAATTCCTTTTAACTTCCTTGCTGAAGCCTTTGCTAGCCTTTATCAAAAGACTCCTCACCCCTTAACAGACTCTCTTTAATTGGCCACTTGCATGGTCAGTTAATACACTGTGGTGGAAACCAACTGGTGAAGTGTGAACAACTGAATCTGGAACTATAAACTCAGTGACCGCTCTGAAACCTGTGGCTATTTATATACAAGGCAGTGTTTTGTCATGCTGATTTTTATTAGCACAGATTAGATACAGACAGCTTGATAGATGCCACAGAGCAGTCAGGAAATGTTAAGTGCAGACCATGTGAAAGATGCCAGCCCACAAACAAGCAGCAGGGTAGGGAGCCTGCTGCCTCCCTTCCCCAGGCGGGCAGGGGCATGGTGCTACCCTGGGACCACTGTGAGGGGCCAGGCCGGCACTGCTCCTCTTCTCTTTGCCTTATGGGACAGGCTGGGTAATCACCAGGTGGGGGGAAATGGGTCAGGCCCATGGATGGGGCTAATCCATTTTCTGGAAAGGTTTTAATTTTCTGTGCAGAGAAATATTTGTTGAAGGATGCCAGAGGCACTGGGTATGACAGGAGTACTGCAGTGCTGTCAGCCATTTGAGAAATGTTATATCAGGGCCTTTTGAGGGGCATTAAAGTTCATTTAGTCTTTCTTTTAAAGAAGTCTTTTTTTTAAAGTTCATTTAGTCTTTCTTTTACTACCTCCAAAGGCAATGGAAGGAAAACTGGCCTAGCAATGGAGCAAAAATTATGCCAGAGGAGAGAGAGCTATCTAGCAGTCTCGGTGACATCTCATATTGTTCCCTTTGTGGTGGCAACAGGCTTTTATATATATATATATATATTTTTTTTTTTTTTTTTTCTGGGGGTAGGACTATATATGGCAGTCAGTGCTCTAGGTGCTATGAACCTGCAATGATATACTCTGAAATGTCACTACACTGTCCTAATAATTGGGATTTATCCCTTAAAATCACAGATGGATGTCTCCCCAGGGCTGAAACAAATTATTGGAACAAATTTTGGAAATTTGTTAACCAAATTAACCAATTTTGGTTAAAATTTTGGAAGACCTGGCAGCAATAAACCTATATTTGTTCTTTGTTTACAAGCAAAAAAATGTGAATCATGAAAAATGATTATATATGTCTGCTTGCCTATTTATTCTGGTTCTATTCATAGGAGCATTAAACACACTGCATCTATACTTGTCTGTTTCAAAAAAAAAGGCACCTGCGCTACATTTATAGAGCCTGTACAACTTTAGAAAGAAATTGCTCGAAGTGGAGCACTGGCCATTCACTGCTCATCTATTGCCTTTCCCTTTTAGGAACAAGAAAGAGAGCATCAGTCAGTGGAAAATAAAGTGGAGAAGTCTGTATCTGCAGGGGGGGGAGGAGGGTGGGTGGGTCTGGCTTTATGTGTCATACAGCCGTTAGCTGAACGAACTCCCTTTGCCATTAAGGAATGTGAGATCAAACTGGAGTATTGTCAATGCCATTACATATTGTCCCCTAGTCCTACAAAAGGGACGACCATAAATAAAACTGAAAGTATATGGATTCCACCGTGTGTGTGCACAACTGCATTTATGTGAGGGTCAATAAAAGTTGCGAAAACAATTGTGCCATCAGGTGTGCTACAAAGCACTTCATGTTTCTGTACACTGGTGTGAGGATAATCAGTAACTACAGAAGGAGACAGTGTCTTAAATCAAACAGGTAATCCTAGAACTTCTTCCATCGATGTAATCTTGCTTCACAGCAAGAGTGACAGCAATACTCATTAAAGCTGAGGAAAAGGCAATCCAGTTTCATTAGTAAGGTTAACACCCAGCAAAATAAACCCCAAAACTGATGCGTCTCTGATCATTAATATTAGCTGCTGCATGAAAAGCTGTTGTCATTAAATACCACGCAAATAATACAAGCAAGAATACTAATCTGTGGCAGATGCAAGCATGCATATCCATTACAGAGCTCATGAAGCTGGGCTTTCCTGGACAATATCCAACTTTGCCAGCGTGAACTTCAGCTGAGTAAGAAATCCAGATTGTCACTCATGAAGTATCTGGCATAGGTGCAAATACTCCCTTGTCTTTCGGAAAGTGAAATAGCATTTTTTTGTTTGTTTGTTTGTTTTTGTTTTCCACTGCAGGATGCATTCCCTTCTAAAGAGTAAAATCACTTCCAGGAATCCATACATTGTAAACATTTATCATTTATTATGCATTTAAATGTGCACAGCACATACACCACAGTCTTGAACAGCACCTGTATAAAACTACAGACAGATTCTGGTAAATGGTGAACTCTCATACCATGTAACATTGTTATCAAGGTTTTATCACAATATTTCAAAGTTACAACAACTACCTCTGAACATATCTTCTGTGAGGCTGTCAGTTGTGGATTTCAATGGCGTGAAAAGTGACAAAGAAGAACCATTCACAGGCAAATTCTTTGTGATTTTGCTGTCTGAAACTTGGAACGAAATCATCAGTTGTCAGAGGTAGCAGTGATAATTACACAATGATTACTCACATATAGAACACATAGAAAGTATAGATATCCCCCAAATTACAGAAGAAAAATCCTTAGGCATGACATTTCCTAGGCACTCTCTCTTGATTTGGCTTCCTGATTCTTAATTGTTATTTTTGCTTTGACAGCAGCTGGCTTAAGATGTGGTCCTGGTCTGCTCTGGTCTCACTGAACTTTGGTGAGTAGATTTAGTCTTCAAGGTCATGTGTAAGCAGAGAATACAGGCAAGTCTATACAATTCCAATAGAACAAAGACTTTTGTGTAGGAATGTAAAAAGAAAAAAAAAAAAAAAGCTGAACTCAAATTATCCACAGCCTTGAGATTTGCATATAGTCGGAAATTACTACTTTAGTTTGGAAGATGATCGATAAACATCCTCTAATTCATTAAATGTTGTGGTTAGTCCTGGTTACAACTTAATTTATCGATGCCACAAATATGATTTATCATTTAAAGAAATGAAAAAAAGAACATAGGAAAAATTGATCCTTTTAAAGATTCCCCCATAATCAAACCTGTCTTTTCCTTCATCGCATTAGAGTTACACTTGCAAAATATATAAAGAAAAATATAGGGTTACTTGATGACGATATAGTACTGCAGCCTGACAGCTGTCTGCAAATATTTTCACCATGATTATCCTTACTAAAAGTAAATCACTGGGTAAAGATAGCTCAAACGTGACAAGGCTCAAATAGGATGCAACCAACTCTATCTTGAATACTTTTGGCTACATATGGAAAAAATAGAGATTTGGGATTACAGTGATAGTTCCTCTAAGCCCTTCTCCAGAATTATAAGACGAAGCAGAAAAGTGTGTACCTTCCATGCAGATTTTGTTAGGAGACTGGCTTTGAGAGTTAGTGAGGTAGAAATTAATTAACTTTTTCAGGGAATGAGACAGAACAAAAGCAGCATATTTCTCCTTCCAAATACTGTACCAAAAATAATAACTAGTACAAAATAAACTTGATTATTGGTAATTGATCCAAATTCTCTCTATGGAGCTTCTCTTTCTGTGAACAGACAAATGACTGCCTTTTCAAAACTTAAGAGTATTATAAATTTTTTTCAAACTTTGACAAACACATGTAGTCTCCAAATATTAAAGGGAAATTGATATGAATAAGGTATAATTTGTTCACAGCAGCATGTTTCACAGTGTGCTGACTGGGGGAAGAACTGAGGTTTTTTTTTTTTTAGCCTAATGCAAAGCAATCATATCAAATATATTGTCCATTAAGGGCTCCAAAAGATAGTATGCTCCTGTTTATCTAAATAGAAAAGAAAAAAAAAATCCTGCTGAGTTTATATAGGTGTTTAAACCTCTCTACCGCCTGGCAGCTCTAAGAAGACTGACTGCAGGAAAGTTCAAAGTTCAGCACTGGCAGATCTAAAAACAGATTTGTGGGGCAGCTCTTCAGCACCGCACTTTCTGTACCGAAGTAAACCGATACCATTCCAATTAAATAGCAACACTGCACAAAGGAGGTCAGGCATTGTGTGTGGCTCCACGCCGGCATCCCACCCAGGCACCTCCGTACTGTGCCTTCTCAAAGGCCAAGAGCTTCTTTGGGAGTCACGGGGGTTTTGAAAACACACAGAGGAGAACAAAGCCACCATAACAAACAAATACGTGTACAACAATAGACACTGTACAACACACACACAGTGCAAAACATTCTAATGTAGGAATTGAATGTCACCTGTTTTAGAACACATAGTAGCAGCACACCTGTGATAACTTAGAAATGAATTAAATAAACCACAAAGCATAAGTCTTCTACTGTTGCACCATGAAATGAAATACCTTGGGTTGGAGGTTTGTTTTGTTTTCAGAAATTAAAAAAAAGAAATCAGAACTATAAATAATTTTTGTGGCAATATATACAGATTTAAATAATTAATTTAAATATCTTACACCTACTCTTGCATAAAACTCTCCAGTAAAAGTGCACCATGTTTCTTTTCCCAAAATGTGTTCTGGGTCTTTCCCTGTGCTGAGGTAGGTTGGAAGGGAGATGTCTCAGATTCTAGGAAGAAAATGTGTCACTGTCATTGTGGGAGATACTTTATTGCCTTTCTTTGTTCTTCCGTTTTTGCTCAGGGCTATGTACATCCCGGGATAAATCCTGGATTCGTAAGCATTGTAGTTGTTTGGCAGGAGAATCTCTTTGAATTTGCACTCATCATTGAAATGGGTCTGAAATGAAAAGGAAAGAATGAGAGGGAAGGAATTTTAAACATCAGGTGTGGAAATATTCTTGCTACCAGGTGTAGTAGGTGTGCTGCACGAAGATGTGCAGCTGACTTTCCCCCCTGTTAGTAACCTTTTGAAGTGGTTGTCCAAACGAAGCTTCAAACAACACTCAGAGGATCATTAAGGATGCTGCTTCCAGGCCAGACACAGACACATGGAGGGGGGAAGGACACCCCTAGCTCTGTCTGTGCTCTTGAGGGAAGGGGGCACATTTTAACAGAGTGGGCACTGCCATGAAGAATGACCCAAGCCCAGTTCTGCTGCCCTGCTCATCTAACTTGGTCAATGAGTTTTTCCTATGAACGAGAAGGGAGAAACAAACTGTCAGGCACCAGGACAATGGGAGTTATAAGTTGTAACCTGTGCCCATGTCCCCATGTTAGAATGCACAGGTCCACTGATATTCCTGAGTCTGCACGTGAGAAGTTTACTTGGTTCCCAAAGCAGAGGTTGTCCTACCACCAGTGAATTGCCCACGAGGCTTCAGAAAAATCAGAATGCTAGCACTTTCTCATGTCCTTTGAGGAGAAAGAGGCATTATAAAGATGCTCAGGGTGGACAGTATTTTCTGCTTCTTTAGTTTTACAATTGAAAGAAGGAAAATTCACCTGTGTTAAAGGATCAGGAAAATAGAGCTGACAGAAGGCATGCTTCCAGTAAAGAGGTTTCACATACAAAAACAAAGAGGGACATGTGTTACAGGTGTGTTATCTGGAGAGTAACAAATGAGGTCACCTCTTGTTATTGGGCAAAAGCCTAGCATTTTGTAAGATAGGTCTCAGCCTGCCAGGCTGAACACTGCGTTGGGAATTACATTATCCAGGACACCAAAGCAACGTATTGTCTTCATAAGACATTCTGCAAAAGAAGCTTTTGCACTTTGATGACGATTCTGCCTGGCTTTCATGTAAGTTGAAATCCTCTGTGACAGGACTGATGCCACAGAAAATCATTCTGGATAATTCATGTCTTCATGCATGTGGAAATGCCCTAGTTAACTTTGACATAGTTTGGCCCTTCCTCAACCCAAGTTTCTTCAAAAAATATCTGAGAGACATGAAATAGAAATGCTGTGGGTAGGGAAGGAGACCCATGAGCATGAGGTTGAAGTGATGCTAACGGCAGTTAGTTAACTTATATTGAGGTATCTCAAAAGCAGAAGGATGGCTCAACATGGGCAAAAACATGCACTGTTATTGTCCACTCCAAGTGTGTTGTAAAATATGCCGCTATCTTTTCCAAAGACTCGATGAAAAAAAAAAAAAAGATTTATATTGTCTCTCCTAATAGATCTGCCTTCACATAATTGCAAGCCCAGACCCTGAAGATGCTGAACTCTCATGGGAACTCTCCAATCGAGAGCATTAACAAAGAGTGATCAATAGGTATGTGACAAGCACTGATTCATCACATCATAAAGGATCATTTGTGGGGCCCTGGCTGATCAGAAGTTCAAGTTCCCTGTGAGAGATGGGGCAAGCAATTGCCATCCTTGATTGATGCTGTTTAAATTTAAATATGAGAAAGATACGGATTGAGGCTACCCTGGGGGTTTGCAACACAAATGACTGCTATGTTGTTGTATGAAGTGGGCAAGGTGGGTAGCCATGGTTGGCTAACTAAATTTTTTACATGGGAACCAAAGAAATACAACACAGAGAAGTGGGTTTTACTAAAAAAACTCAGTGAACTTAGCACACCTGGGCAGCACACCTTCTGTTGGCAAGGCACCAAGGGCTAATCCATGGTGCCTGACCCAGGAAGGGCGGAGATGGTGCTTGGGCAGCTTCCAGCACCATGTACACCTCTTATCCCAGCTGACTGTATTCCCCTCCCCACGCACACAAACGGTGGCTACTTACAGATCCATAGAGTTTGCCTCTGCTATTCATGGCCACGAAGAGTCCACTTCTAACACCAAATATGCTCACCACTCCTCTTTCCACAGGGGAGATTTCCAGCAGACCTACATAGGAGACATGGGAAATCAGGGAGACGAAGTGCTGTGCCCTGAAGCAGTGTGTGTGGTATCAGTTCTGTGCTCACCCAGAGGTTCCCATCCTTGGTGTGGTGTGGATCCCCATGCCCCAGCACTGCTGTGGGTGGCCACAGATCCCCAGCCTCATGCCCCACGTGCTGCCCCATACTCCATGCTGGGACCTCTCTTCTTTTAGCCAAGTATCTATTTTTACATTGCCCCCAGGCATCCTCCTGTGTAGCCGAGGTTAAAATAAGACAGAGTGTGCTTGGGGGCGAATGAAACATTTGTCATCATGCAGCTTATATCCCCTGTTGGATCTTATTGTTTCAGTTGGATATCAGAGGCATGGGGCCACGGGGTTAAGTCCCTAGCAGATGCTTTTCAAGTTTGGGGGAGAGCAGGGCCCTGGCTGCGCTCCCCGCAGCCCCTGCTCAGAGTGGGCGGCCCAGGGGGCCGAGGACCCTCCAGATGCTGAGGCAAGCCCTACACCTGATGCGAGGGGCAGCGCGGCTCCGGGCACGGAGCTCTCCATGGGCTGCGCCGCCGCCCCCTTCCCCCGGGCGCCCTCGGGGCAGCCGGCGCGGGCAGCACCGCGGTGCCGGGGACGGGCGGACTTCTCCGGGTGCTGGGAGATCGGCCCTACACCCACCCTCCTTTTGCCTCATACCGTTCTCCGGGGCAAGGCGAGCCGCTCCGCACCCTCGGCAACCTCCGCGGGCACGTAGCGGCTCACCTGCCCGTGCGCGGGGGGCTCGGCGCCGGCTTACTGTATCGGTTCTCGCTGTGGATCCCGTCGATGCGGCCGTCGGGCAGGACCTGGATGTGGAAGCCGATGCCCACGTTGCAGTAGAGGCGCCGCAGCCGCTTGATGCCCAGGAGGTAGTCGCCGTCGCGGGAGGCGTCGCGGCGCTCGGCCGGGAGGCGCGCCACGGAGCGGGCGAAGAGCGCCGCGTCCCAGCGGCGCTGGCGGGGCCCGGCGGGGAGGCGGCCCGGGGGCGGCCGGCCGCGCACCGCCCCCGGCCACAGCAGCCCCAGGAGCAGCGCCGGCAGCAGCGCCGCGGGGAGAGGCATCCCGGCGAGGGGCGCGCAGCCACGGGCCGCCGGCCGGTCGTCGCTCCGAAGAGGCGCTCGCCCCCCCAGCTCCCACTTTATGCTGAGGTCGGAGCGCGCGGGGGGGGGGGGGTGGTGTGTGTGTGTGAGGAGTGTGCGGGGAGAGGGGGGTAAAACAAAACAAAACGCACACACACACAGAAAAAAAAAAAAAAAAAAAGGAAGAAAAAAGAAAATAAATAAAGAAAAAAAAAGCGAGGCGGCGGGAGGAAGGAGGGAGCCCCGCGCTCAGTCCCCCGAGGATCTGCGGTTTCCCTGGGCAGGCTGCATGTAGAGGAAATCCCGGGAGCAAGAGCGTCTGAACTTGATCTCAACTCCAGGAGTCTTGTCTGAAGTGCTGATCTTCTTCTATAGCTGCTCAGCCATAGCGCTTTAGCCCTAGCCACGATATTTATATATCCATGTGCGTTGGTACCTATTACATCACCACCTACTGCTGTCTGCTGCAGCCCTCCGGTTTAGCTGAAAGTCAAATTATCACCCCTAGATGCTTAACAACTCCGAAGCGTCTTGAGGGGAAACGGTGAGCAGCACTGGCGCTAAACAAGAGGGACAGCACAAACTTTTAAAAAGAAAAGGTCATATTTTCATTCGTCACAGAAGGTTCTTTTTCTTTTTCTTTTTCTGTTTCCTTTTTGTTTATTTGGCGGTTAGGGGGATGGTGAGGGGAGGGGGAGGGGAGGGGAGGGGAGGGGGCGGGGGGGGAGTGGTGGGGGAGGGGGGTTGAGGGGTTGGCAGGCTTTGCAGATGGGGAGGAGGTGGGGGAGTATTGGAGGGGAGGAGAGGCTTTCTTCGACGCTTCGTGTCTGTCTTTCTTTCTTTCTTTCTTTTTCTTTCTTTCTTTCTTCTTCTTTCTTTCTTTATGTTCTTTCTTTTTTCTTTCTTCTTTTCTTTCTTTTCTTTTCTTTTCTTTTTTTTTCCTTTTCTCTCCTCTCCTTCTCTCTTTCTTTCTCTGACTTCTTTCCTATCTCTCTTTCTCCGTTCTCTTTCTCTCTCTTGCTTTCTCTCTTCTTTCTCTTTCCCTCTTTTCTTCTTTCTTTTTCTTTCTCTTTTTCTCTCTTGTAAATGCCTACAAATGCTAATGCAGGACACAAAAATCAAAGAATGTCCAGCACACTTTTCCCTGACACAATGTATGACTTTGTGGAAATCTGTGGAATTTCAGCTTTTGCTGTATCCAAGCGACATGGTTTACAGTTTGCTGGATGCAGAAAAATTCCCTTCATTAACAGCCAAAATAGTTGTTGCATGGGAGGTTTAAGAAATGAAAAAATGAAAGAACTTGGAAAGAAAACAACAACAACAAAACAAAAGAAAGAAAAGGGTAGAGGTTTTAATAAGGTAGAAATTAGTTAAAGAAACACTATGTGCTCAAAAGCAGTAATAATGAGCAATAATGTTTTTGATTCTAAATATCCCTTTAAGAAATCAGAAAGCACAGCATTGCTCTGGAGTATAAGACATACGGAGCTCCCTCTCGGTCAGTATACTGCTAGGGGCTGTAGTGACAGCAGTTTGTTCCTGACCTTTAGAGGCTGCCCATTCATATAAGTATTGCTGTGCTCTTTAATGGTATGATTATTTTCTGATCTTTGATGTGCATGCACTTCAATGTTGCCATTTTGTCTTAATGATACAGTTGTTCTTAGATAGGTACTTCATTAACTTTAAGTTCATGGGATTGAAACTCAGTATTTAAAAGTAGAAGAGGACAAATTTTGATTCCAATAGTCCAGAACTACTTTGATTAGAGCAAATCCCATATGTTTTGTCACCTCCCTTTGCCTAAGCCTCAGCCCTCAACAGGTTTTCAGAACCAACAGGTGAGGGGACATTAGAACAGTTTTGGAAGGTCCTGAATTAATACAAAAGTGGGGGAGAAGTGGTTTGTGACTCAAGTCCTTTATAGCCTGAGGACAGTTTAGTCTTTCACACCAGTAAAGCACTCCTGCTGTTCCAGCAAAGGATGCGAGAGAAAAGAGAATTGCCCCAAGCCAGATGACAGCTCACCTAGGTGCGAAAATCTCTGACCTTCGCTAAACCTAAGCAAACTTAGATGATGTACTTTTATTTCTTCTTGTGAGGTGCATATACAGTGTGCGTATGCATATGTGTGTGTGTGTGTATGCTTCCTCCATTGGTTTCTTTCTCCCGATGCACCTCTCAGGATGGAAAAGCGACTGCTGCTGCTTTATGGATAATTGTGATCTGGTGCTACAGGGGTAGAAGTCTCCTAGGTGTGGCTTTGTCTTAATGTGTCAAAGAAGTTAATTTATGTGTGTATTTTAAAGACAGCAGAACTTAGATGTTTCTCTATGGAGGTTTACAGGCTGGTAAATCTACTGAGGTCAAACGCACAGACATTTACTACATTTCCATTTGCATCAGGCCCATCCGGACACTCTTACACCTGACAAGCCCAGGGGATCAGTTCTGGATGGAAGTGTTGTACTGTACAGCAGGCAAAGCTGGCTGAGAGCAAAGCTGTTGCTCATGGGTTTGGAAAGTGCCCTGCTCTGCAGAGCCTGTGCTGGGGGCCTTGTCCTTCCTGAGGGTCCCCAGAACAGCACGAACCCACCACACTTCAAAATCTGAATTATTTGCTCTTAGCAAACAGCATTGGATGAAGGTAGGATTAAGTTTATTTACCCTCCAAAGGGTAAGGCTAAGGAGTGGTGTTTTTGCCAGACTTGCAGGTTCCCCCCTGCAGCAGAAGCATGGTCTAATGCCCATGGCTGATGGGTCAGAACCAGATCTGCTTGGCCTGGCTGCCAGCAACAGCCCCTGGTATCCCTGGGGTACTCACACTCCCTCCATGCTTGGAGGGACCCACATGTCTGGGGGCCAGCTAAAATCCCCACTTTATCAAAGCAGACACTGTGATGTAAATTGGATCTCTTAATTCATTTGTAGGCAAGTAGCATCTTGTTAGGTCATGCTTGTTAAATATCTTGACCAAGTGATTGTCCATGACCCAAAAAGCATATAAGCCTTAGCCCTGTGAATATGAATGTGAGTTAAACCTTGAGGTTAGGGACATGCACTGGAGGTCCAGCAGGCTGAGGTATCTTGGTCTCATTGGGACTTAAGTAAATGGGTCCTGAAATGCATGTTATGCTCTGAGTCCATATGCTTGTAAGATCAGGTCCTAGACAGTTACACAAAGCACCCAGAACATCACATTAAATTGCCACAATATCACTGGTCTATAAGGGATGCTTTTGCAAGTTAGTTCTTCAACTTTTTTACAGAATGAAATGGCAGTCTTTCCATAAAGGCTTGAAGTGAATCTTTCTAAGAGGAAAAGGTATACATTTCCAGCTAAGAATGAAACAATGAGGTTTGATTTTGAGATTTGAATGATGTATATTCTTGTATGTGTGAGCATGTGTATAGTTGGAGTTGATATTTGAACTGTCCAGAGGACTGCAGATGACCTCTAGGTACCCTGATAATTTAGGCAGTCCATTAAACTCTATACAGATTCTGTTCCACAACACACCACAAAAGAAGCACCCACTACCTCCAAAGACTACTCCTGATGCTTCAGAGACCTCCAATTGCTGATCTGTCCGTACCTGTGAAAAATACGGGGAGATGAAAGCCAAGCAGAACTGCAGCAGTTTAAATTTGCAACAGGTGTAAATGACAGGTGGAAGCTGCTGACATTCGCGGCCTCTGTGCTGCAGTGTAGATATTTCCAGTTGGAAATTGTTGTCACAGGAAACAATCTAAATAGTATATCCCCTATGGAAGTCAATAAAACTATGTCTTGTCATATTCTTTTGCCTCCTCCTCCTCCCCCCCCCCCTTTAGTTTTTCCCACGTGAGTATAGTATTCCCTTATTGAAGGGAGTTTCTCTAGCTGCTGTTTGTGTAATACCAGAATAGCTCCCAAACATTAATTTATCCTTGCAGAACCTTTGTGAGGCACAAACACAGAATTATCCCAGGCCAGAGATGGACACAGAGAGAAGAAATGATTTGCCTGCCATTGGCCAGGTTCTCTGAGGCAGAGCTGGGGACAAAGCATCCAATGTACTAACAGCTTTTGAGCAGTGAAGGGAGCTGGGTATCTCCAGACTGTCCCATAGTTAATTCTTCTGTCTACTCTGTATTATGCCATTCTTCACTGCTGTGTACCCCCTACACCTTGTGTCATGCAATTTCACAGCAATAATTTAACTATTAAACAGATAAAATGTCTTCATCTTTGCATTGGCTCTGTTGCCTTAGAGCATATGTGATATCACAGTTAGACAGCTCTGCTTTCCAAATTCCTCTAGGTTCAAAGTATAAGAAAGAGGAAAGGATTCACAGACTTGAGACCCATGCCTAATTCAAATCCTGTGTCATGTATTCTGAAAGGAAAAGGGAAAGGAGGAAGGAATTTGGGATACCTCTACAACCTTTATGGAAATTATTTTGCATTTGCACAGGCACAGCAGTCATCCAAACTTGGCTCTGTGTTTATATCTCTAAATGGATCTAAGTCCTCAATTTAAAAGTCAATTTACATATTTATTAACCCCACTAAATAGATGTAAATGACCCTGAAAAATATTGTTCATGGGCTCTTCTGCTGAAGGCAAATATTGTACTGGTCCTTTGATCTGGAAGGATGGGGAGTGGACTGGAAGGGGCATGGAGAAGTATATTGTTAGGAAAAAATCCCTTTCACTATGTTTGCATGCTACAAAGACATGGTAAAAAGCAAGCCTGTACCCCAGCTCCCCCTTGGCACACGCCCCTTTTAATTATGATGACTTTGGAAGACAACTACCCAGCGGTCTGCAGAAGGGACTCGCCTGAGAGAGCTTTCTCACGTTCACGTCTGGCTGCCTCTCTGTGCAAGCAGGGGCAGTGGTCCCGGGAGAGGCGGCTGGCTGGAATGCAGCACAGTGCTGGGGCCCGAGCCCCGAAGGGACGGGGTCGCTGGGAGACCTTCGCCGTCCTGGCCTCTGCATAACACACATACCCACACACGCCAGCGAGTCATATGCACTCCTTTTCTTTTTTCTGTTTGCAGCTGGTCTATTTGATCTCTGTGTGCCTGGGCTGTTTGCTGTTGTGAGCGTCTTGCTGTGATCAAAACCTTATTATCTTGGGTGATGCTGTAGTGTTATATATTGGAAAAGGGCAGTGGAGTATAGCAGCAAGCAGCTGCAATTCTGGTCATACAACAAAGGCATCAATAACCTTTCTGCAGTGTACTTGGCCTGGTTCAGTGGGAGGACTGGGTGTCACTTTGCCTGTAATGGGCATGGACTTTTTCTACAGCTGCTCCCTCTACTGCTGTTGAGCTTCTCCATGTGTCTCTGTATAAAGCAGAGACCAGAGAGGACCGCGTCCATCTCTGTGGCTCCTGTAGTTCCTCAATGGTGTAAATGTTGCAATTCACACTTCCAGCTTGTGACTATGCTGCTCATATACACCCACAGCTGCAGGGATGGGCACCAAAATGCTCCAACTGGAAGATCAAGTCAAAAACTTTTGATTTTCTATGAATTACATTCAGTCTTAGCAGCCTTTTTCTTCTCAGCTTCTATGCTTTATTTGTTTGCGGTATCACTTTTGAGCTGTAAGGTTGCTGTTCCCACAATGTCAGCACTGAGGTGTGAGGTGGTGGCGTGGTGACAGCAACCCTCTGGGAGACCCACGTCTGCTCTTAGCCAACCGATCTGACATGGTCACGGCAGGCCATTTCCTTGTCCTGCTGGTCCTTGTCACTAACTGACGTAGGAACAGCTCTCAGGTGAAGAAACACATCTGGACGATCTATTATACCCTCTGCTTCTCACTCTGTTGCTCTCCACTACCCTCTTCCTTGTTTCTCCCTTTTTCTGTATCTATTCTACTCACTTCTCCATCCTCAGGACAGGATGATGGGATTACAGAAAGGAATGCCCTTTGTGGAAGGTGCAGTCATGATAAAGGCTAACTACATAACACCCAGACTTTAACCACAGGGCTGAAATTTGTCTCTTTCCTGGTGGATCTTCTGCAGATGCCTTTATGGTCCCACTGCTTACTTGAACGTGTGAACCATAACCGGCATGAAAGTGAGCTTTGGGGACCAATGACATAAGAACCAGCTAAGGGAGGAATTCTTAGCAGCCCTAAGTGGGATTTCTCTCTGATGTTGTGATTAGTGTCAGTTGCTGAAACTGGAAGTACTGCTTTACTGTGGGGTGGGTGGATGGGTGGAGAACATGGAGGATCTGAGGACTCTTCAGAGATACCGGCTTTCTTAGATTGTGAATGTCAAAGGCTGAGTTCAATGCTTTATTAACAGGGTGGGAGTGTGTGATCGGCGTTCTTATTTTTGAAGAAATGTCCTGGAAAGTCATCAGCTGAGCCAGATCATTTCTGAGGGCAATAACGTCCTGGGGTCTTGCCATAGCCTCACAACCCTCATCCTCAAGCTTCATGAAACTTGAGCCTAAGTTTGGTGGAGAAGTCCATTAAGAGCCAAGGTGGAAAAATATGTGTAGAGGGCTCTTGCTATTAATGTAAATCTTTTTAAGAAAATTTAGTTCCCAGGCAGGGTCATCCTGACACTAAAACTCATATACTTTCATGTTCATTGCTGACATTTCTGCATATGCTATTTTGTTCTTCCTTGTCCTGTATTCTTTTCACCTATTGAAATTATAAACATTTTAAAACTAAAAATATACATGTTTTTCCTTTTGTCAGATTATGGCACACTTACTTTTGCTGATACATTTCTTGGCACTCTGCCAAACAAAATTGGTGAAAGGAAACATAATAGAAAATGAGTTTTGAGAATCAGGGTAAGTGTTTGTTAAGCTTATTTTTATTATTATTGTTGTGGGAAATAGTAGCTTAAGCTAACTTTTTGTGTGAGAATGTTTTAGCTGACTTTGAGTGTAGCAGAACTGGTTTACATGAATCTGTTCAACATGTGGCCTCTTTGTATGAATCATTTTCTACCGGTGGCTAACGTGAAGAAAACTGGCTGTTGTAAGCAAATGACGTGTATTGCTGAATTTTAAAACTTCCCAGCAAAGCACCACTTAAAATCTGTCAGAACATATATGGACATAGCTGTACAATCCATAACCTCTCTGAGCATGTAGGAAAGGAACTTTTCCAGTTGACCTTTAGTGTCATAACTGTGAAACAAACGGATGTCTCTTTTCCTTATTTACTCTTGGACTTTTCACAGTGCTCATCACTGCAAGGTCTGAGTCCTCTCTGGAGTTAGCGGCCATATCCTCAGAATACCCCCATGAGCTGGATGTTACTGTCCTCTTTCTCAGCCTGTTGCTCGCTGTGGCATCGGATCAGATGCCTTCACATATGCCTGGGGTGGCAGAGGGGGAACTGAGATCAGAGAGATCGTGGAAGATCTGTGTGGTCTGACTGGGCTGATAAACTGCTGTGGTAGAGGTTCTCGAGGCCTGGTCTAAGAAAGTGGTTTTCCCCATGTGGCACACTGTGTAGAGAACCCATGACATTAACTTGGACCTTGAGGGCAATGCAGATGCACTGGTCCAGCAGCACCACACCACTTGCCTGCAGCAGGAGATGTACCTGGGATCCTTTTATTTTGGATGAGCACTGCATTGTGCTCCCGTATGTGCTGCGTGGGGAAGGGACTGAAGCACAGATGTCCTGAAACCTTTGTAAATACTCCTCCTTCCTAATGAACGCCACTGGTGTTGGCAATGACTACAATTTTATTTTGCACACTGACATGCAAAAGGCCCTGAAAATAGTTATGAAAACACAGTCTAAAAGACAGCAACACAGTTTAACAGACAGCTTGCTCAGACAAACTACCCAGTTCAGCACTACATTACTCCTAATGAAACCAGTCTGGAGATGCAGTGTGACCAGAAACAACTGCTTTGTTTACTGGGTGAGTGTTTGAAAGGTAAGCTGTAAGTATACACAGATAACAGCTCTACAGATAGAAAAACAACCAGCATGGAAGTTACCCATCAAATTCTGCATTACTTGAAGACAGCAAAAGCAGTAATAATAAGGTAATATGTAACTTTTTTCTCTTCAAGGCCTTTTGAAAGTAAAGCTAAGAAGCCAAATATACAGCTAAGGACCATATTGCAGAAACATGTAGAATAGGTTATCTGTGAACAGACATGTCAGTCATCTGTCATCATATATATCTAGAAGACTTGTCTTAGATTTTGGCACAATTATCACTCACTCTCTTTATGCTGCTTAATAACAGGCCTTTTACATTACAATGGGAGCCAGTTTTCACTCCAAGTTTGGATCATACAAGACATAACTTAGTGTTGGTGCACAATCCTTGCCCAGAAAAATTCACCTGCCCCCAACAAACCTGCAGAGATAGCATAATGCATTGCATGAATGCTGACTTAATCATTTGATTACTCTTTGTCATTCAAGGCCCAGAGAAACTTCATCCTAGTAAACCATTTTAATTTTACCTCTGTCTCTTGTACATCTTTCTCACTTCACTAATAAAGCTAGAAGAGCTACAGTAACATTGGTATTACAGGAACTAACAGATACGTTAAAAAAATAAGTAAATGAAAAAGAGAGAGACTGTTTATCTTCTTTTGGATGGCGGATGTGATGGTACTGCTCTAAGAGCATATTTCTCACAAGGGTCTACTTTTGTTCCTGCAGGTGAAAGGGAACAGGACTAGACTCTAAGTCACTGTTTGATGAAGCCACATCATCTCCTTAACTCTCAGAAATAAATATTTGGTTTATGTTTTTTCTTCCATTTTAAAATGTTTTTATTTGGACATAGACAATATATGGATTCTTTATTGTTTATGTGCTCTGTAGGAACAGATCTCTACGCAGTTAGCTTAGAAACTTACTTTGCTTAGCATGGCTTTCTTTTTTTCTTTTTTTTTTTTTTTAAGAGATAGAATGAGTTAAATGCATAATTCAAATTACCATTTTAAAGATTGTCTTGAAAAGAAAAAAGTCTTAAACAAAATAGACAATTATATAATGAAGATTTTGGTATTCTTAATAGTTTCACAGAACTAACCTGTGATTCCATCCATCAGTTCACTGGAAGACACTTGGAATCAAGTCAAGTCACCTTCCTGAATACATGTGCCCTGTGAACACTGAGTGTAGTACTATGATCATCTAAAACCTGTTAGCTGTCACATGCAAGGAGGCCATGCCCCACAGGTCCCACATTTCAACTTTACTGTGACCCAGTTGGAATACTGCGTAAGTTACTGCATGGAAAACACTGAACTATTTTTTTTCTCACTTATTTCCATGTAACTTCCTGAGTCACTGGGAAAAAAAATAAAAGAAACTGAGCCTACAGAAAATCGGGAACCTACTAGAGATATTGTCTTTATGTTCAGTGCAAAATCATTCAGAATGATTATTTTGATCTGAATCTCCATGTACATTATTATTGGTGTTAATGGGAATGGAGGATGTACATGTGAGCTGTTGGAATCAGAACAGTGGGATGGGAATGATACATAACGAAGAGAAAACTCCCTGCCCAGGGAATTCAGACAGTGCTGTGCAGTCACTGCTATGCTATTTGCCACGTGCTATATACAGTCACAAAATATTCCACTCAGTCAGAGACATGGCCAGAAAAAGCCCTGCGAACCCCAAAGTCTTACAGTCTTATAATAACCACTGAAGCACGCCTTCCACCACAAAAGGAATACAGCAAAGCTCCTGTTGACCCACATGGGAAAAGCTGTGTGCAATTTATTCAGAATATAAAGAAGCAGGAAAAATCAGGGGGGCTCATTTCAGTAGATCCATGGCCTTTTGGCATTGCTCTGGAACTGTGAAGCACATGTGAGGTAGGAATAATGTAAATTTCTGGTTACATTCACAACATTTCATTGTGTATGAATGACACGTTATAAATGATTTGAGGTTTTCAGAAAATCTATTTGCTTCCATGGAATAAAAAATAAATTTGTGTAAAAGTATTTGGTTGAGAAAGGATTTTGTCATTTAAAACATTCCTTTCAAAACTAACTTGGGTTCTTCTCCTAACTCCTTCCACTTTTTAATTTGCAAATTTATGTTTCGTGACAACTGTTGGACCAGCATACAGAGAGGCTAGTCATCACTTGAAGCTCAAATGCAGAAACTCAGAAAAATAAAAAGCACTGGAATCTTTTTGACTGTTTATTGCACTTGAAAACAAAGGAACTTAATGATGATACAATAGTAAAATGCCATCCCTATTGTCTACAACTCTGTGTATGTTATTATTATTATCACCTCCCATTATTATTTTTCTGAAAAAAATCAGTCTAAGACTTCAGTTACAATCAAACCACAAAAAGGAAGAAACAGAAAACACAATAAGCTGCTGACTGATTTGTCTCCCAAAATGCTTAGGCAGCTGCTATTTTTTTGATAGTATTTTTGATAGTTGTAATTTCAAATTACTGCAGTCAGGTCATTTTCGTTTGGTCTTTTTGGCCAGCACCAATGTAGCAGAAACCTGAGCAAATGGCATCTATTTATATAGTGGTTTCGAGAAGAGAATGGGGCAGTGTGTGTCTTGTCTCATACAAGAGTAGCCACAGAAGGAAGATTGCTGAAGATGGTGAAGACATTACACCAGGGCTGATGGGGACTTTGGAGCACCATGCTGTAACAGAGCCACTCTGGGAAGGGTGAGACAAGTCCCATAGATCCTGTCAACCAAGGTAGCCCATGGAAAGGATGTCTTTGTTGGTGCTGACTCTGTCCTACATAAGGCAGGTAGATCAAAACCTGGCTTGGTAGCCTTTTTGGTGGAGTGCTGAACTATGACCCCAGCAAAATCACATTGGCCAATGACTGGAAGATATGACAAGGAGCAAGAGCTAGGGAGACCTTGGAGCTACCCTGTTTGTTAGCCTGGAGATCCCTACTGCTGAAATGGCTTAGTAAGAATGTTATTTTTGGTGGCACTGACAGTTTTTGCAATTGGTATTTGAAGAGGTGTATCATCCACAGTGAATATGCTGCAGCTGGGGGATCAGCATGGGTACATACTGCCAGAGCTCCTCTGTTCCTTTCCATATAAAACTCCCCAGCTCTTTCTCACACTGACTGAGGAAAGGGTATACCCAGGGCCACTGCAAGGGCAAGGGAGAGTAGTGAGAAGAATCAAGCTGGCAAATGTTTTTCTGTTAGATTTCTACAGAGTTTAGGAAGTTTCCCTGTGTCATCTTCCGTCTGTCTGTCTGTTCTCCACCCCCACCATCACAGTAGTTCATCCAAACTGCAACAAGAAAATTATGAAACATAAAAAGAAACTACCCCAAATCTCCATTCTCTAGCAGTTTTGGTGCAAGAGCAATCATAATCCAGAATTACAGCAACAAACCTTGTATGCTGTTGTAGTTTATTATTTAACTGAAGTAAATTGCCATTATTTTCTTACCAGGCCTGAGGGATGGTTTGCAAATCATTCTCATGCTTCATGGTGCCTTCAACTCAACGTGAACACAGGCTGCAAAGTTAGCTCCCAAATACATTGGATCACGAATTGATGGTGGTGGCAATGTGCTTTCAGGGGATTTAGCGCTTCCCCCTCTTTTGTTCCAATGGGAACTGGGATAGGGAAATGATAAATTCCCAGAAAAGAGAAAAATTCTTAAAAGTTTTTGAGGTTCACAGTATAGTCTAAAAACCACTTATGTCAGGAACGAGTAGCCGGTCCAAGATAAAGTGGTTAAAGGGTGGGTGCATGGAGGCTAGGAAAAGGAGTTGCCTTAAATCAACATTTTTGCTTCATGTTGTGGTGAGATGGCCTTCCTTTTTTTTGTTTTCACCAAATCCATTCTCATTTATGACAAAGTTACACATTATTATATTTTATTTAAGCTTCTGCTATGATTATGGATAAAGGAAAGACAGTTCCTTTAGCTGCAAAGTGGAATATAATCAACACCTTTGCTTGTGGACTGACTCTATGCTGCTGGAGGAGCAGACACGTTTAAGCAGCAATTTGGAATCACCAAATACTAGCCATATATATCTAGCTGTTGTTATACTATAAATATAATTATTGCTATTATTAGTATTAGCAATGGTTACTATTACTGGTTATTATTAGTCATAATTTTTACTGTGGTACCACTTAGGAATTCCCTTAGTAGACCAGAGTGCCATTGCAATATGCACTGTAACACTGTTACCATGACAATTTTTCTCTGTTTGCTGGTGTGTTTTGGCTAGAGAGCCAGCTGTTGACTAGCTGTGCTCCAAGTTGCTGAGCAATAAATCCCAAACCAAATTCATGACCAGATTTCTGCTCTAAGTCTCAATCTTGTGACTTGCCGCATAGGCTGCTTTGCGACTCCACCTGACTTCAGCAAGTCACTCTGCAAAAATACCACCCTGACACTGAAGCAAGTGGCTCCCACGCCAGTTTTTTGAAAGTATACCTTGCATACTCATTTGTACAGGTAAGGACAGGAGATTCTGGTGGGGAGAACAACAAAGAAGAATGTATTTCTAAAAGACTATGGAAACAAGTGAAGATGAGAGTAATTTCTTTGCAATACAAGAAAGAGTTTTTAGAAGCACATTATATTGAGAGAATTGCATTTAACTAAGCAGGAGGAAACAAACTTTGTGAAAAGTCAGTGGTTTCTCACAGATGAGATTTCTCTGACATCTTCAGTCTTCAGAGGTCCACAAATCATTGGCCTGGCTTTTAGGTTGATGTTAAACATATAAACATTGTTAATCCTTCCATGGTGGTCATCTGACTTTTTTCCTTCTTGTAGCAGCATGTGAAATTGGCCACTGTGCACAAAGAACTAATATCAATGCACAGTTCTCTTGCAAATGATGTTTCCCTTGAAATGCATTTTCAATCACACACATCATGCACTGAGCAAAAGAGGTGCATGCAGAGGTGTTTTGAGTCCACAGTGCCCACAGAGACCCCAGAGACTCATCCATCCCAGGACTGCTGGGTGCTACAGCCCTGCTGCCACTGGGACTGCAAGCCATTAGCACCTGAGGGCTGCTGGGTAGGCCACGGTATGTGAGCTAATGGTCCCAAACCATTACCTACTGAGCTGAAATCCTTATCACAAAAGCACTGTGGTTGTGATTTGCATCTCTCCAATGTGTGGGTTCAGTAACTTCCATATGCCATTACCAGTAATCTCCCTCTGTAATCTTTCTAGCAGCTCTGTGTCACAAATATCCCTGCTATAGGTGTTATGTTTTCTGATGGTTCACTTAGCACATTCAGACATCTTCCATGCTCACACCATTGTTTGATTATGTCTTTTTAGGGTTAAGATCTGATCAGTATATGTACACCCTCTTCTGAAGCTAAACTGACTTTTCTTAAGCCTGCTATTCAGCTGTGCCTGTTTTCTTGTTCACAAGCACTCAAGCAAACGTCTCCTCAAACACCACAAACAGGCTAATGCCTCTTGAGTTTTATATTCCTTCCTGTCACCTCCTTTTCTTTTTCTTCAGCTTGCTGTAATCACATCTGAATACCAGAGACAAGTCCTTCCGCAGCTTTGAAAAGCACTGGGAATACCTGACGCTGTCCCACAGGTAACACCTTCATTGTTAGCATAGCCAGAAGGACGTGGCTCTTGGAAAGGGTGGCTGTGCATCCCACAGGGGGCTGCATCCAAGCAGCCATGACATCTGCGGGGCCACTGCACTCCCTTGATCCTTGTGCCTGTGCTTGTCACCTCAATGATTGACCTTTTAAATTTCCCAGCATGGATTATCAGTGATCTTTTCAACACTGCTTGGTTTTCCATCTCTCCTATCTAGCTTCTCACCTAAAGTCCTTGGTTTTCTTGTCTCCCTCTTCAGTAAGATAAACGTTGGAGGGACGGTTTGTTCTGGCAGGTTACTGACTCTGCTCATACGGAGGTGTGAGCTGTGTGAGATTTTGACCTACTCCGAAGCACAGCTGCAACACAGATTTCTGCCTGAGCAGATCTGGTTAGAAGTACTAATGAATTAAAAGCAGATCTGGAAACTAGTACTGGGTTCTAATTTAATGCACACTCAGCTTTTGTTCAGGTTAATCACAAAATTGATCTGTCCATTACTCTTCACGCTAAACGCTTTCCATGCTAAGGGGACTTTGTCCTTGATCAGGGTTTATCTGATTAAACACTGATAAAGCTGTATCATGATACAAGTAGGCAAAATGCTGCAATTAAAAGAAGATGATCATTCAGACTTACCTGTTGTGACTGAATGGGAAAACCAAGCTTTTTTTTCCTCCTTCAGGCTCGCTCAGCTTTAGTCCATCTCTGGCAAAAGTCTCTCAATCTTACAGGTGTAGTAGCCAATCTCCAGGGAGAGGTTGAGATTAAATTAGGTACCCTTGAAGCAAATCTCCAGCCACATCTTGCCAAATATAACAGTGTTACAGGTACTACAAAGATAATGAGAAAAATACATATTGTTTTATTAATTCACATATATTACACATTTATAAAGTAGTACTAGTTATGATAAAAGCAAAACCCATTATAAATTAGAAAATTCAGAAGTCACACCAATCAAAAAACAGTCACAATAGCATTCATGCTTTGGCATTTTAGTGAACAGACCTGTATTTGTAACAATGTTTTAAACAAATAAACAAAAAAATCACTAATCTGTGATTGATACCATGTTTAGTAAAAATATCTCATGATGATGAGGAAGATCTGTGACATTTTATTTCTGCTATGAATAGGTATAACAATTAGGGCTTCCAGTTCAGATTCCAGAGAAACGTCTTTCTTCCATTGCATTTTTCTCTTTTCCTTATGTGCCAACTCTTATAAAACAAGATACCACAGGATTTAATTCTAAAAATCTAATATTACTGCCTTGTGGTGAACTGAATACTACAGATTCCTGCTTGATAATACTGTCTCATGGGATTCCTGTGTGGTAACAGAATCTCCCAGGATTCCTGCCTGGTAACCATATCTCACTGGACTTTGGTAGTATTTCTCCCATTGGATAACCCCAGCCCCACCAAATAAGCAGTCATAAACCTCATTATTTTACATGACATTATTTCACTAAAGTCAGATCCTGTACTGATTGAATCAGTGTTCTTCCCCCACTCCCCCCAGCTGATTTTCACTAAGTTAGAATCAAAGCTCCAAGAAAAAAGAATATTAAGGAGTACATTATTTGTTTGACAAGAATAACATTAAGAAATACTTTCAAAGCAGCAATAATAGACACATTTCATGGCTGGCTTATTTTCATAGAATTGTTCAACTTCTGCAGGACTTACACTTTGTCTTTAACAGTATGTGGACTAGAAAGCTTTATATTTTCTGAAAGTGAGATATTACAACTGATCTTCCTCATGCCTCATGCAATGCTAGCTCTGTAGTGATACAAATCTGAGCAATTGTAGTACAGCTAAAAATCACTAATACTATAGGCCAAATCAAAGAGTGACAGACCTATGAAGGATTTTTCAGAAAGTTTTGTGCCCTGGGGTTGGGATGCCCTGATAGGCACCAGTGCAGGGCTTGACTAGCACAGAGTGGCCATAGCAGAGCTCTGAGCAGCTGAAGCTCTGGCTGAGCAAGAGAAGGAAATTTGGAAACACAGACACTACTAGGGCTTGAACCACCATGAGGGCATCTGCAGAATAAATGTTGGGAATGAAAAAGATGAGCAAGCGCCACCTTCTATTAATGCACTGTATCTCCTGCCTCATGTTCAGACAAATAAATGCACACAAACCATTTTTTTCCTTTTCACAGCTGTCTTTCAGTCTAGATATAACACTCAAAACCTCAGAATCTTATGGCTTTTTGGAGCCCAGGAGCTCTTGAATCCAAACCTTGCTTTGATACCAACTTTTCTCCACCTTTGATCGAGTCATTAAACCTCAAAGCTGTCAGAGACACAAGTGTCTGTGGTAATAATCCCTGACTACTTCATGTTATTTTTGAGAGGGTCAGTAAAGATTCTGAAGGTGAAAATATGACTGACAAACTTGATAGTGGGTCTGCCAAGAAACCCTAGAATTCCCAGACAGTTCAGCTGCCTGAATTACAATTGGAATTGGTAGAGACGCACACAGGTGAAAGGCATTCCGGAGCATCACTGGCTTTGGCCCTGGGTGGCACAGCACTGTGATGACCAGAATGGCTATATGTTCTGACAATTTCTACAGGGGTGATGGAGACCAGGAATGTTGTCAGACTGGGATCTGTGTCTCTGCGCTATTGCCTTTTAGGGTGCTTCTTGCTTTTTGGGCAATGAATTCAGAAAAACGTGTTCAAGACTTGTGGAAATATCTGCAGGCAGCCTGGACAACGAAAACAGGAAAAACAAAACACTTCTTACCAGGGGCTTCAGACAGCCTCTTAAGGGGGCACTCATGACTTTCTTGTGAGTCACTACCCCAAAATACTGTAAGTGCTATTCGTTCAGCGGGGCTCGCGCTGCAAGCTGGAAACAATCTAGGGAACTCTCATCTTCAGGTTGGTGGGGGCTGGCAGCACGCGTGCTCTCTCACTGGGAACGAGGGGCGAGACGAGAAAGAGCACGGCTTCGAAATTGCTCTCATACATGCTGTGGAGAGTGGAGCTGAGGGTCTCCTTTGCAGCTCTCATGGGAACAACGAGGATTTTTTTTGTGTCTGAGGGGTGGCTATGGTGGGTAAAGTTGATGCAAACCGGGAATACAAAGAAAAGGTGCAGAGGCTGGGGGAGAAGCATGAAAATTCCTGCCACTGCCTGCTCAGTTGTCTGTTTGGGAGAGTCGGGGAGAAACTTTGGTGTATATCCCATTTATAGACCAGAGGACCTTCTTAGGACCTGAAGCCCTATTGCTATAGAAATAGGGGAGAATCCATAAAAGCAGCAGCATCTCATATATAGCACAAATCTTCTCTTACAAGATAGGCAAGGAGCTAAATGCTGTAATTAGAAGTTCACTGAGTTATTTTCTGTATGTTGCAGCTAACGACACAGAACATGGACTCCTGATTGAATACCAAGGCAGTAAATCAATGGAGGGTCTTTGCTACCGTTCATGAAATGCTCCAGCTGTGCTCCAAAGGATTATAATGTCAACAGAACTCTTGATTTGAATCACAGCCTTGCCTTCACTCAGGGGCCATATATTAGTCTTGAAAAGCAGGCAGTGTTTCATCGCTCAAAGAAAAGAGAATTGCTGAGCTGAAAATAAAACGATGATGTAGGGGAGAAACATTGCAACACAGCCAAAGGAGATGTACGGCAAATTTAAGCGAAACCCTCTTGAAATTTGAACATTATTTTTCCATGTTTGAAAAGTTTAGGATAAGTTTCACAAGTTTAAATTTAATTCTTCCTGATACTTTCAGAAAGTGCTGAGCCACCTGATTAAGTGCTTAAGGTTGTGAATCCTCAGAGCTACACCAAAGCCAGTAGAGCAATGCCAATTGACCTCAGACAAGGATCTGGCACTAACATAGGGTATGATATGTACCAGCAGTCCCAAGAACCAAAACTTGTATCTTCTTAGAAATTTGTTCAGAGAACAAATATCTTTCTGCATATAACTTGTGGTTATGTTTCTGCTTTCAAGCATGTACAAATAATGAAAAATAGGCTGTAGTCCACAGAGCTGAATTCCTGAAGGCGGTGTAAAAGGTGTAGTTTTGCCTTAACAAAACACTTGAAGTTTCCCAGGAATCTTTTGACATTTAGCAGGTGTCCTCTTGCAATGATTGTAATAAATCTTAGCAACTCACATGCAACCAGGAAAAAAAAAAAAAAAGAAAAAAGAAAAAAAAAAAGCTGAAGACTCTCCTGATGATAACCTTGAAGCTGTTGACGAGGTCACAGTGGTAGTGTCAGTATAGTGTCAGTAGTGCCATACAGCAGTTTGCACATGTTCTTACTTTTTTTATTTCTATAGGAATCAGCTGCTGCCAAAGTACACATGATACAAACTAGAATCTTGATTATTCAAAGCTCAGTCATAGTCTCTGTTTCCTATAATACAGTTCTATCCCTGGTATTTATTGCTTACAGTGAAAAGTATCTCAGTTGTTCAAAACTGTACTTACTCAGATTCAGTAACAGGACCCATTAAATCAATTTGCAATTAATATGGTGAATCCAAAACAATTTTCCCTCTCATAACGGTACTGAAGAAATACAAAAGTTTGCATAAAATTATTCAAAAGGGGAAAAACTTCACTTTACTTTAAATACTTCTCTTGAAAAAGAGGAAGAGATATCACAGAGCTCCTGGAACTTTGTGCAGGTTTATATCTTTACAGGAGCAAGAAAACTGGCCATTACTCCTCTCTGAAATATATAATTAATTGAAAATCCTGCTTTTCACAAGCACCAATGTGGAACAGCAGCTTAAATACAACAGGGTTGGAGAGTTGAGCCAAGTTCCTGAAATGCAATACCAGTTTCTATTGCACATACTCTTGCAAAGTCACGATTCCTGCTGAGGATGACATTAGCCTGTTTCCTGGTCTTGCACGCAGTTTATTTTGGTTCCCTACCACCATGTGTGAGATGTGCACAGAGCTTTGCCAGCTCCTGCTCCCTCTGCCGGTAGCAGGATTGTGCCCAGGGCTCTTGCCCAAGGTGGCTGCCATGATGGGTTACTGGTTGCCATCAGATGATTCAAGAGCCTTCCCACAAACACTGTGCATCTCCTTGCATTGTTGTCTTGCATAACATGAACTCGTCTTCTGATGGGGTCTTCAGGTGCAAATGTACATGTCACCAAAATTGAATACATGATTGTAAAACAGTTGTAAAACTGTTAAAACATTTTACTGGCTTGCCATCACAAACAGTCAAACCAAATGAAAAAATTAATATGAGTTTGTTTCAAAATTAAGTGAACTTGAAGTATCACATCTGCAAGTCAACGTTGTCACTGGTGCGTAAAAATGCATTTTACGAGTCTCAGTCACGGTGCTTTATTCCTGGAAGTATGTGCAGGAATTTTCTTTACTTTTCATCCATTTTCTCTATAATTTCATGGAGGCAGCAGCACCACAACATCAGCTCAAAGTGTAAAACACTTTTCTTAACCTTCTCTGCTTGTATTTCAGTCTGTCCATGTTTCTTGTCTGAGTGCTTTGTCAAGATTGCATAGAGAAGAGGCAAAAAGCGTCCTTCGTTTTTTCCACAGCTTTTTGAACAAATGTTTCATTATTTTCTAAAAATATATTTCTTACTTTGTTTAGCTATACACGTTCTTTACATAGGCCATAACCTAGATTTGCTCCAAAACCTAGTAGGAAAGCATACTTTTGCCTATCATTCTAACTCACCTTTAAAATGGTAACCTTGTTCCAATATTCAAATGCAAGATGAAGTTTATAAATTAAACTATTTTATAAGGGTTATTTTTTATAAGATTTTTTTTTTTTTTAATTAATATGTTGTGGTTTTTTTTCATCTCACCAGAGTCATGATGAAAAAATCATTAAAAATGTAGCATATAGGATTTTTTTTCTGTTGAAAAGAAGTTACATGAAGTGGTTGGCCTGTGCCATGAGACAGAACAATGTCACTGCAAAACCACAAAAGTTTTCATGCGGATCTATTATCAAGAAAGCTTTCTTAGTTTTTGTTCTTTGTAGAGATCCCAATGTTTGTTAGAGTTCAAAACAGGAAGCAGTATTAAGTTTACATTAAAATAATCTTACCTCGTACTGAGATATGGGGCAGAGTCCATGCTAATCTTTTAGAAAAAGGTATTAAAGGAAAGTTAGACTTGTCTCCTTCCTTTTTTCCCAAGGAAGTATTTAACCTGATCAGACTCCATTTCTTGCCCTAGGATCTCTTTGCATAGTGACAAACACAAAAGGCTACACAATCAAATGTAGGCCCTGAGTTCAGACCCTGCTATCTTTCTCTCCAGCAGCTGAAGCATTATATTTGCCCACAGATGAGCTTTCAGAAGTGGTTTTTTTTGTGGGTTTGTTGCAGCCCCTTGGAGATACACAACAAGCAGCCATTAGCCTAGTCACATCCCTTATGAAGAACTAAGGAGTAAAGAGTTGACCCTGGTCAGAAACCATTGGACTGAGTTTGCTAAGAAGGGGGAAAAAATGAGATTACCCTGACCCATTTATATTAGGTAACTTTTTTTTTCTTTTTTTTTAAGGGAAAATCTAAGTTCTGAAGAATCCTAGACTCCCTCCGGGAAGATCTGGGAACAGCTCAATTTCTTATGGCTATTTTTGAAATGCATGAACAGCAAAGCACTGGAGATGCAATGAGCTCATCATTCAGAACTGGGGAAAGAAACGGTTAATCTGATCCAGAGGGTTTTCTTTCCATATGCCCTACTGAATATGGCTAACAGATCCTCTGAGCAGACAGACTATGGGACACAAATAAACACAGTTTCTGCTGCTGTAGTTTTAGACCCATGTTGCCATGAAAAAATGTCTAAGAATTTAAGGATAAATTTTCAGTTGTTTTCATGGTCTGAGCAACACATGCCTGGGAGACTCCATTGTCTGAGCAGTATAAACCAAGCATATATTATCATACCATAACTATTCCATACAGAGTAATGTATGTCACCTAACTTCTAGTGCTACTGTCTCAGATTGTCTGCAGGCTTCTTTCAGGCTACCTCATTTCTGGTGGCATAAAGTAACGTTTGTGTGACTTCTAGTGGGAATGTAAAAGGAAGGTGTAGCTAACACTTTTCTTGTAGCTAACACCTGTGTTAGGCACTTGGCTGAGCTATACCTTCTTAGTCTTTTGTTTTGTTTTTACAATTTTAGACAGGTGCCAGCATATGGGGAGCTCTCTGCTCTGGTTCTCCAAGGGGTGCACGATCCCAGCTACACCAGGCCTTCAGGTGCTCCTGCCATAGTTGAGCACTATGGATGTAGCTTTCTAGAGTCAGTTCTCTGTTGAAAAGCTGGGTGACCAACTCATCTCTCTGGTGACAGTTTCTTTTAAAAGTCTATCACAAAGTTTTCTTTAAGTCATCCAGAATATCATAATTAAACTCTCCTCATTATACCTGAAGAGATTTAACTGGCTCACAAACCCGAGTATCTGAACTTGAAATTGCCTTAAGTAGTTGAACTGTAAAAAGCAAGTTTGTGAAGATGTCTGAAATTGCATTAAATAGTTGAACTGTAAAAAGTAAATTTGGGGAGATGTCTCCCATAGCCACTCTGTTAATGTTTATTATCTCACCACCATCTGATCTACGCAGGACGTTGCAGGAGACTCATGCACAAGCAATCCTTTTCTTGGTTCTAAATGATCAATAGCTTCCTAGCACCCTTCTTAATTCTTTTTTTTTTTTTTTTTTTATTAGTATCAGCATATCTCTAAATTCTACTCACAGATAAATCACTATTCTTCAAATCTAAACAGTTCAGACTGCAATAAAGATCCTACAGCATGTAGGATTATTACTGTAGGAAAACACAGCATTTTCTTTAATATGTGAAGACTCTGAGCTTGTTTTTGTGGTCAGAAAGGGGATGCACCCTGGATTTCAGAAAGTCTTCTGCTATGCATCGGTGGCATCTAAACTATTGCAGAACTAAAACAGGATAGAGTTCTCTTTAACTGTCTAAATTTGGAGGTGGCTCGAGAATGCTAACAAAGGAGGACAGTTACCATCAACTGTTCTTTAATTATAGATCTGCTTGTTCACCTTCCCAAATCCTTCAAACCTTCTGAAAGGAAACAGGAGACATTTGAACTTGAGCACTGCTACAAACTTCAAAGGCACTGGTTAAGATAGCTTTAAAAGAAAGCAACTCACAATCAGTTCAACACATTTTCTTCCACTGTGCAAAACATTTCATCAGTAAAAAATAAAGAAAAAAGAACAGAAATCTTCTTCAACAGATAAGGAAGCAGATACACAGAACTAACGAAAATACTGCCTTATCCAAGCTATTTGGCTCTGGTGTGTTTTTTAGTTCTTACAGGGGTACAGATTTCCCAAATTTTCGTAGAGACTTAGCACATATACTCTCTCTCTTTCTCCCTCTTTTTCTACAAATTCTTGCTGCTGAAATAAACCTTCCCAGCATTACAGTTATGGGCAGTGCTCTCAACTGAGAAACTGTACACCCAAAAACCAAGGCACTTTTTACTTACAAAAAAATAACCATTTTATTCACATGGGCCCCAAATGGTTCATTGCATGAATTTACAGAAGACTCAAAGTACTCCAGAATCCCTCACTTGAAAAAAATGGCAATATGCCATTAGCATAGCAAAAGCTCAGAATCCATATTCCTTTTTTAAAATGCCATTACTGGAACAAAGAAAAAATAATGCTTCCATCCCTGGAGCTGTGGTGACATGCCGGCAGGACCAGAAGCAACCAAGGGGTGATTGATGTCATCTCACTTCCACTTTTTAAGCTCAAGAAAATGCAGTAGTATCTGTCCAGATCTAGTTTGGAAGAAGACACTCTTTGCAGTCTCCTGTATTTGACATGCTACTGTCCCTCCACTGTCCGTGACCTCCCCACGCAAGGAACAGAGGCTGATGAGACCCTTGGTGACCACAACCATATTCCATGTTGTAGCACAGGCAGGTCATGATCACTTGCATCCCGGAGCCAGGAAAACAAAGTGTGGAGACAGATCTCAATTTTCCCCAGACCACCATATCAGCTTGGGCCACACAACAGAACCTGAAGCCCAAACTCCAGCATCAGATTTTTACCTGCGAAGTCTGAAGGGCTTGTTCTTCCTTCACTTGGAAATGGTATCAGATTTAACCTGCATTATGTACATGCTAAATGGCTGTTACCATAAATAATGTTCTAACATGATAGAATTGAACCTGGAAGAGTTTATGCATTTCATTCCACTGTATGCTGTTTCACTTGTCTGTTTCTTTGATAGTGTATTTCACCAGTAAAGGATTGTTTTTATGTTCAGTAGAAAGATGCTGTATTTTTTACCAATAAAAATAGCTTGCTTTCCTAAAGGAGAAGAAGAGCTGTTGGTAAGGCCCTTTTGTGCACAGATTATTGTTTTAAAAAGAGATCACAGCAGTTCTTATCAAGATCTGTTTGGTAGAATGGCACACTGATCTCCTTGCAAATGTTTATCTCTTAGAAAACAATTCTGCAGGCAAACAACATGTAAATGGTGGTCTTAATTGAAAGTCTCTTTTTACAAGGCCTTAAGAACATTACAGGTAATTAAAATTGAAATATTTAATTCCAGGAGTATAAAAATATATAGAAAATCCTTTGCTTTGGGCACACACCTGTAACTGTATTTTCTGTATGTATATTACATTCAGTAGTTTCATGATTGCTAAACTTAGAAATGTTTGACTTAGTTTGTTTTAATGTGTTTTCAGAGAGGTACATTGTAAACCACTCGCTTTCAGTATAATCCTTGAGTTTTTGAGGCCAGAGAAAGGATTTCTCACTTTTAATGCCATTGATTATACATTTTTCAGAGAAAAAATACATATAAATATGCAATACATATACATATAAATATGAAGAATCTTATCATTTATATAAAATAAAAACAAGCACTAAGATTCAAAGTTTTCATCAGCATAATTAACAACTTTATTTTCTGAGGTTATTGTCTGAGGGGGAGATTCTGGACTTCAGTGCATAACTGTGGCGGGGTGCACAGGGCAAAGGTTTTAGCTGTAACTCAACGAGGCTTTTCAAGGACATTGTTTTGTGATGTCTCATATTGCCCTCACTGGCTACAATTTTAAATATATTCACTTGATTGCTCCTCTGAGCTCATAATTACCGATGAGGCTGTGAATCAAACAGATGATGACTAATATCAGTGTAATAACAGCTTTGCTTTCTAGATTTTTATTTCAGCCTGTACTGTTCTGGATGGGAGTAAACCTTCTGAAATCTGGGAGAGTAACTTGGTTCAGACAATAAGGGAGAGTTAAGCCTTGTCAACCAAACAGTTGAACTAATACCAACCCCTTTCCAAAACCAGGTCCATGCAACCATCCAAATCAAAGGCATGTGTGGTCAAAAAGATTTCTTTGCTTATTGTTTTATTGTTTTGCAGAGGGTTGTGCAGTGGTGAAGAAACACAGGAAAAAAAAATCAGGAAGTAAAGCCGGAAACTCAAGAACTCACAAAAAAGATTGCAGCAAACAGGGAAGGCTTGGGCCTATGTACTGCCATTAAAAAAAAAATCTCACAAAAAAAATCTTCTCCAGAATTATTTCATGCTTGTTGTGACTGAGGAAAACAACAGTTTTATGTTCTGTGTAAATAAATAAGATTATCTTAGAAACATCACCAGTATCACTTTTAAATATTCAGTGCTGGGGGGCATAAGTGTGAAGCAGTTTCCAAGTAAAAACAGGGTGCACCATTATTTCTTGGTGAAGGCTTGTGGAAACAGGTACCAGATCTATAGCGAGTGGTGAAACAAAGAATCTCAGGATGACAGAGGAATGACACTCAGTGAGAGAGAAAATCCACTCTGAGAAAGTGGAGAAAAACGTGTGAGTAAATTGGGAAATAATTCATGCCTTGTAACATAGTTGTTCGAAATGGGGTAGCAATTTATGTTTCATAAACAACCATTGCTTTTTATGAACAGAGGATGACTAAAGTACTAACACAATCACCAAAGACCAGAATATTTGTCATGGAGTTTTGAGCTGTTTGAGAGCTATGATGGGCTGAATAAAGGATTAAATAGATTAGGAAAACTGTTTCAGCTATAAGTCAAAATGTCATGAATCTGGAAGGGCAACTGCATGAAGCACTCAACCAATTTCTTCCCTCTTATTTTCATTCAGTGAGGAGTTACCACATTGTCCCAGCTCAGACAGCACCATACACCTCAGCTGAAGAAACTTCAAATGTTGTCAGCTTTGCTACAGAACTTGAATCATTTATTAGAGCAGTGCACAGGAGAATGAGCAAGTGTATGGAAACTTTGCTAAGTTATCCTATCAGATTCTGGCCCAAAGAAATAAAATGAGTTATAGGATGCAGCTGGGATAATTATTGTGAATAGGATTTCAGCCTGTCTGTGTCTAAGAACTGTGGAATTAAAGGTTACTAAAAGAATATTAAGCAATGAATGTCTGCAATGAAAAGTATTTCAACAAGAACATCCTCTTTACTTTGCACAGATTTTCCACTGGCTCCTGATTTAGAGAACATCATGCTGCCTGTCTAGTCCTGTGCAGATCCCATTTCCATTTTCAGTTATTTTGTAAGAGCAAAAAAAATTGGGAACATAGTGCACCATTACCTGTAACCTATTTAAAACCTAGATCTATTCTGTGTGCACCACTTTATGTTACTTCAATGTACATAATTTCAGTGTCTTTTTGCATGTCATTGGTAAGCAGATTAAAAAAATAATAATAATCTGATTTTCTTATTCAAACACAATTTCTTCCTTTGTTGGAATATTACAAAAAAAATAAAAATAAACCAAAACAAACAAACAAAAAAACCACAAAGGTGGAAGTAAAACTGAGTATACTTTTTGGTATAAAGACACCTCTTGGTGTTCATATTTATAGGGATGTAAGCAGTACTAAACCTATGACTGCTAGGCTTAATAAAGTCATTTTATGTATTAATTTTAATTCTCTCTTTCACAAAATTCCCCCCTTGGTGATGAAAGATTTCACTGATGGGCATTAAAATATCATACTGTTATTCAGCAGATAGCCCATAAGAAGACCTTCATGTCATTATAGCTTCAAATGGGATTTGTACCTCTCTGTTTCCATGTAATGTCGTATTTAACTTGCAGATCTTTTGTTAAATTCCGGTTGAATGCTTATTTCAGCACAGTTTCTCTTTTCTCCAGCTGTGATGTATCAAAGACTAATTCTAGGAAGTGAAGAACACAGGGCAAATCTCATTGAAATTATTAGTATTTGTGTTTGTCAAGTGCATCTAAATCTTTCTATTGTTCTATCGTCTCTGGTATGTTCAGAGAAAATATTAAAATGTAACCCTTTGCTAAAAATTAAACTTGTAATGTGGACTCCTCTCAGCTTTGCAAAAATTAATTTCCAGAACAAGAGTATAAAAATGTATAGAAACAGATTTTCGTGGAATGAGCCAGAACTCAAGATCATGAATCTTAGTCTAGAGTTACAGTTTTCAGTTTAAGACTACTTCAGGAAAATAACAGGCATTTAAAAAGAGAGGCAGAACACCGCAGCCAACTTAAACTGATGATTCACTACAGATTTGTGTGTTCAACGTGACAGTTTTTTTTCCAAATAGTTAAAATGTATTTACATATTTCACCTAGAACTACAAATTCCTGTAGAAAACTCAGCTAAAGAAAAGTCCTTGATAAATATTCTCATCCTCAGTGCCAAATTTTTCTATATCACAAGTTCAGTCAATACCACAAGCTCAGCTTTCACATCATACTTGGGACCTATTTTAGGAAATGATTTATCAAATGGTAAATATGTATATTGCTAATGTTTGGCCAATGCAAATGCCACCTTGCCAACATTCATTTATTTGAATGATGAGATCAGGAGTCTTATATTTTAATTAAACAAATCCAAAAATACTGCAGTAATGTGCAGGTCTGTTGAAAAATTTAAAGTAGCTTACAGTTTCAGGTTTCTTGAATGCTCAAGGAAAAAGAATAATTGATACTAAATGATCATATAATAAAAATAAATATATGTTAGGTACAAAATAAACCAGTTTTCTGATTCCTCTGTTCCATACAAATAGGAATGTAGTCTTTTATGAGCAACTGCCAAAAGAGCCATGAAAGTGCTATGCTTCCTCTGTAGACACAAAATTGGTAAGTGTAAAAAGTTCATATGATCTGGGAGGACAGTCACAGAGATAGTACCCTATGGTGAGCTAGAGTGAAAATACTAGCAATTATTTTTTTTTAAAGAAAAGAAAAATGTGAAAGCCATCAACAGAATTATTATATAAAACTAAATTACATTTGAATGTGCCTTAGCTTATCTCACATCTTTTTTACCATGGATAATAATTCTAAAACAGCTAAAAGTAAGTGGTGTGACTTTCAGGTATATTATACAGTGTATCAAAGACGCCCATGTTAATGTTTGCCATACAATCACAGCTGTTAGTTTCTTTTAGTAGTATTTTGAAGACTCTCATTCACTTCCAGTCCCAACACAAGCTCCCCCCACCCCATTAACGTCCTCTCCTTCTTCGCTGGTTCTTACTGGGAGGCCTCAGGAGGCTCTCTCGATATCTTGTATTTGTGTGGAACAGTCGGACCATTTCATGGTCTTTGTTATCCAATACTCTGGGCAGAAAGAGAGAGGATTTCTGTGTCCTGCGAGTTTTAAAGCCCCTCCTGGGTCGTCCTTTCCCATTGATTGAGACATACCAGAGTCTCTCTGCACTGGCTTTGCGTTTTGTGCTGGCTCCGTTAGGTACAGTCCGGTACAGACGGGATGCGTAGGTGTTGTAACCCAGCTCATGGATCCTCTCCACAAACTCACACTCTGTGTTATAATTCTCCTGGAAAGCAAACACGGCAAAGATTAGGAAAGGCTATTCAGGCCATAGCTCTCTTTTACCTCAATCAGATTGGACTAAAGTCATTTGCAAGACTCGGCTCAGTTTTAGGCCAAGTGCAGCAACAGCTGGTAAGAAAAGCTCAGAGAGGTGCTACCGAAGGCAGCTCTTCCTCCCTCAGAAGAGCTGGGCCTGAGCTGCAGTGCGGTGAGGAGCCCGCTCTCACCAGCAGAAGAGTACTCTGTGGGTCAGAAACAAACAATTTGAAAACAAAAAATGGCATGTGAGTAGGAATTAATAGCTCTTCTGGTTGTTCAGCTGTAAGTTTAATTTGTTTGTGCTTACAGGCCTAAATATGCCTGTGAGCGGGGTGGAGGATTTAACTGCGGCCTACCAAACTTTGCCATTAAAAAGGGAAAATTCTGTAGTTGAGCATATAATGTGACACTTTAGTTGGTATATTAGTACCTAAATACACCTGTGGTGGTTATAACCAGTTTATTGCAATGTTTTGAGCTGTAAAAAACACATTAATGAAACTTCAGCACAACAAAATGAAAGCACCTTGCCCACTTGTGTGTTCCTCCAAAATGCCAGGCTGCTCCTTTATCACAAACTCTAAGGGAGAGTACATACCCATCCTGAGGGCTCACATTTTACATGATCTATCAAAACTTTCCAACTTTCCTCATATTCTCAACTGAGAGAAAACCGTGTGTGAGAGCCTGGCATGAGGAACTCCTTCCTCCTCTCTGGGAGCAGTAGAAGCAGTACAAATAAAGGACGTGTACATCTTTTTCAAAGGACATTGTACATATTTTTCTTAACTACAGAATTGTCTTTGCTCTATCTGTGAGATAAAGACATCAGTATCTAACACGTAAGGCACAGAGGCAGAAGGGAACTGCTATCATGGTCTTTATGGAGGTTTACCTTTAGAAAGGCCTCTCAGAGGACTTGGAGAGTGCACAGGTGGCCAGGCTGGGGCCAGAAAAGCCATAGGCTCCATTAGCAACATGTCTTTAATGCTGTTCGCTCACCAGAAATGCTGATAGGCATTTAACAAGATTTTAAAAGACTCCACATGTCTCAGTTTCACAGCTGTAAAACGGAAGTGCCCTTCCTTGCGAGGACAACATTTTGCACATGCTGTGGTGCTGGAGCCCATGCAACTACCATATGTAGGTAGATTTCTGTTGCTGTCTGCCTCAGATCTGGCTGTAGAGGATTTATCACGAAGATAAACTTCAAGGATTATCACAATGTACTAAGGACACAAAAGAGTTCTGCAGACTCAACAACCTCATTTTATTGACATGGGGAAATTGGTGATATCAAGGGATAACTGAGTTACTCCAGTACCATTTCATAAAATGCTTCCTGTATCATTATCCCCAAAGAAGTCAGACTTATTTGAAAAGGGGGACTTGCACAGGTTCCTTTCATAGTAACACCCATGAAGTAGTCGGCCATTTTTTCTAGGCAAGCTAAACCAGGAAGCTTCTCCTGAGCTTAGCCCTCACCCCTTACTTGTTCTGTGAAAAAAGCTGGAATTCAATAGCTGTGCCTGAATTGTCCCTCCAGCTCTGAAACAGTCTGTCTCAAACTTGAGCTGGACACCCATTTTTAATTAATATTAACTGGAGGCATAGCAGTCAGCCATGGTCAGCCTCAGCTCTGGCACAGCAAAGATAGTATGTCCTCATTCCACTTCAGCTGCACTTTCCTTTGCCAAAATTGTTTAATGCCTGGTGCTTTGTACCAGCAGAGAACCTTCATCTTTACAAAGGGGCCCTTTAATTAGTGGGCATCATGAGACACGTTCCAGAATCTGGTTCGCAAACACTATCAGGATGACACTCTTGAGAAGGAGGAATAAAATACATGAGAACAGGGAAGGTGACTGAGTTGACTGTGTTACCTAAGTTGAACTCACAAGGAAAAATCCCACGTGTCTTGAGAATGCATTATGCCGCTCAAATCAACAGAATTACATAAAATTACTATTTGGAGGAAGAAGACTTCACATAGCTATATTTTACCCTTTTCAAATCTGCTTTCCTGCCACAGGATTCCTGGAGAAACTGCACAGTATGGTTGTTACACAGTGGCAGATCACAAGATTGCTGGGGATGTAATCAAAGATGCTGGAAGAAATTCAAGTAGGTAGGTAATACGTATAGCATACACACTGGCTAATAGGCCTTCGCATGTGCCTGAGTGTAAAGAAGTCTAAGCTAAAGTATTTTGTTCACTGAGGGGAAATACTGTCTGGGCTGAGAGGGCAAGACTCCCACTAATAAGAGCAGAGCCCAGATATTACCTCAAAGATCGAGACAAAAGTTAGAGTAGAATAAGGTGTTTATTTTCACCTTTATGTTCTTATACCTCCTCATACTTCCTTTCCTTGCTATAGCCCTGCGTTTTAGTCCCTGTGAATTCTTTTTCTGTCCAGCCAAACGCTCTGTGAGAAGAAACTCCTCTCAGTAGGTTGGTTTCCCGTAACAGAGATGCTCAATTGCTTCTGGATAATCTTCAACATTTATATGCCCTGCTAGTGTCCAAGACCTGTAGTGAATATAAATATAGGAGCATTTTGAATAGAGGTGGATATTCTGCACCACAAAGGCTGGCTCCTGAGGTCTTTATCAGTGCACACAATTGCTCAGCACTCTGGCCACATGAAATACCTTTGCTGAATACATTATTCTGCTTTTGGCTGTACAGGCAGTATGAAAGTAATAATATATCTTCTTTCTACTTTGCAAAGTACACTGATCAGGTTACCTGTAACAATTCCAGACAGAAATCTGTTATAACAAAATATATTTTTATATCTATATGTTATAAAATACTATAGGAAAAATGAAAAAGATTTAATTATTTTCTCTATAAACGTTAATTTAAAAGAAATCAGTGCTCCCCACTGGACCTGTTCTCCCCACAGGAATTGACAGGCATATGCCAGAGGCTTAACTGAAACTTACCGACGCATAAAGTCTGCCCCTTTTGTTCATGGCCAGGTATCTGCCAGAGAACAGGCCCTTGATGGCAACGATCCCAACATCAACAGCTGTTATTTCAAGGATACCTAGAAACAGAAACAATTGTGAGATTTCTTGTTGTTCCCCATCACATGCAATTTTCTGAGATCTGTTTGAACGACTGCTTACCTGCAGAGTATGATTTCACAGCTATCACCTGCTCACATCACAATCATACTGCAACCATATGAACTAAACAAGGCTATTATTTGAAACAATGTAAAACAACAAGGATGTTGGAATTGTTTGAGATAATCTCAACAATAAATCCCTTAGATGTCTGATTGAGATTGAACTCTTTCAAAAATGAAAAAGATCTGACACTGAACTACAGGTTTGCTTAATCCTATATGTATATAAGAAAGTTTAAATCCTCTTTAATGCTTAGGAACACAAGAGCTCTTGACTTATTGAAACCAGTCACAAAGCGGTCCATTTCAGGACAAAGCCCTTGCTGAGGTCTCCAGAGAGTAAAACAGAGCATTTCAGAGCCACGTATACAATTGTGAAAGGAACTTGCCAGTTAGGAGGTCAGCATAGCTCTCCAGACAAGGACAATACGACTGTCTGAGCCAAGTTAAAAGACAGGAGATGTTTCAGGCCATCAAAGATGGGGTCTCAAACATTGGAAGGGTATCACAGATACCCTTGGCACAATACCTGCCAAAATCTTAACATCCAGCCAACCATGCCACCATGCTGATGATGGCACAAGTGGCTTGGGGGCCATGCTATAAGCACAGGGCTCTCTGGCTCAAACTCTGCTCTCAGTCCACCAGCTCTGGGATGATGCAGCTGGGTACCGGCGGTGAGCCTGGCACCCAAGCCCACTGCTGCCTTTGGGCAATGATAAATCAGAGCTGGGCTCTTGTCCCGCTTGCAGAGTGGCATTACTGGCCCGACCACGTCTGTGAGAGTTGGGCTAGGTTGGGTACAGCTGTTTTGAATCAGCCACCGGTTCGCCGCTGAAGGATGTCTCCTCCGGGCTTTGATAGCGAGGGGGTTTTCCTCTAGGAAATAGTGGTTTTCCTTTATGGACTTCAGACAGATCCCGGAGGTCTCCCTGTCTCTGCGTGCCGTCACCAGCCGGGATTTACGCTTCCTGGGGCGGCGGGGCCGGGTGCGGGGGCTCCCGGGGCTCCACCAGGGCAGCGGGGCGCGGAGCCCCGCTCTCCTCCCTCCCCAAAGCCCCCCCAAAAAAGCCCCCTGTTCCCGACGGATCCCGTTTCAGCTCAATTACCACCGATCCCCGGCACATGTCGGAGGGGGCAGATGTGGTTCAGCCCGGGGGGAGCCCCTCGGGAGATGGGCAAGCCGGGGAGGGACGAGGGCAGCCTGCAGCCCGCCGAGGGGGGCGGTGGGGCTCAGCACCGGGCTCACGGACGGGGCTGGGGACCTCCGACAGGATGCGGAGGGAGCAGGGCTGGGGGGTCCCACGGGGACCGAGCCCCTCTGCCGCAGCCGGGGTGCCGCCGGGCAGAAGGAGGAGGAGAAGGAGAGGAAGAGGAGGAGGAGCGGGAGCAGCCCTGTCCCGCTGCGGGCCCGGCACCGGCATCGCCTCCGGCCCTGCCGCAATTGGTCCTGGCGGGCGGCCCCCTCCCCGCTCGGCCCTGCCCGGGGAAAGGTGCGCCCGGTACTCACTGAAGACGCTGTTCTTCTCCAGGGTGCCGTTGATCTTGCCGTTGGGGTGGACCTGCAGGTGGTACTTGGTGGCACAGAAGAGCTTCCTGCGCCTGGGCGCTCCCCCCAGGTGCTCGTAGACGCCGCCGCGGCCCCCCGCATCCCGGCGCGGCCGGGGGTCGCCGGGGGAGGCTCCGGCCGGGCCCGGGGCGCACGGCTGCTGCCACAGGCTCAGGAGCAAGATCCAAATTACGAGCATTGTGGCATGATGGCCGCGGCGAGCAGTCTGCTGGGGCGACGGAGGCTTGGAGCGAGCGGCACCGGGGGTCCCATCAGGGACGTCTCGCTAGCGGCGCGCCGGGCTGGCGAAGCGCGCTCCGGTCCGGGTGGCGAAGCATCGGCGAGTTCCTATCGGCCTCGCTCCGGCCCTTTTATCTGTCTCAGATTTACTTAAATCAATAGACATCGGCAAAGGCCACCGAGGAGTCCCAGCTGTTTGTGTTAGATGGAGCTGCCGCGATCAGCCTTCTCCTTGGGTTTCCAGCTAGCCAGACGGCACGCATGAGAGACCGGGAGCAGGAGGAGGGGGGAGAGGGAGAGACCCACTGAAATTCGGCAGGAGACCGCGGGGAAAATAGCTGATCGGCAGAGCATAGAAATAAAAGCCGCTTCCTGCAACAATAGCCCGATCTGCGACCAATTGATACAAAGCAGAGGAGGCAAAAGGTATCGGGCTCGTGTGAACTCCCAGAGTGCAGCGTGGATAAAATTACACACACGCAGCATCTCTCCCCGGCGCGCCGCACGCACCCCCCCACGCTCACACCCCCGCCGGGGGGGGCTGCGGCCGCCGCCCTCCGCCCCGCGCATCCCCCGCGGGGCTCCGCCGCCCCCTGCCCAGCCCGGGGTACCGGTGCCCGAAGCAGGCGGCCTCGGGAAAAGCTCACGTTAAACGCAGGAGCCGCCGAGAGGGGCTCAGCGCCCGGCTGCTTGGGGGGCTCACGGTGGGAGAGCGTTTTAGTGGGGTCAGGGACCCTCTGCCACCCCCCTCCGCTTTGCCCCCGGTGTTGAAAGCAAGCAGTTATTACTAAATCGGTCAGTTCACGGCTACAAGTAACACCCGTTATTTAGGCAGGTCTTCAAGATACAGTCATTTCCAAATTAGCTTGAACAAAGTAGGGCCCGGCCGGAAAGCAAAAAGTTGTCGTGTACGTCCTCGGATGCATTTGCAAAAAGCTGGAGCTAATCCTTTTTCTTAACTTTGGTGCCTGGTAAGTCTCATTAGCTGTAGCAGATCTGCACTCGCTACCATGTAGCTTCACAAGACTGCCTACGCTTTCAAAATGTGATGGAGCTACCTATAAATAAATATAAAGGGAGGCAAAAGGTTCAACAACTCGGTGAATTACGCTGCCCCTGTGTGTTACTCAAAGGCAGCTCGTTAATTAGATTTGCATCTGAAACAGGCAGTAGGAGTTTTGGGAAGTGTTTCAGAGATAATTAGTATTAATGTGCTCGAAGGGCACACAAATACACCTTTGAAGTGAGTCACGACAGAATTCAAACGTTTGACCTTGATCGATATAAATTTTTTCCCCCGTATCGGTGAACATGTAGAGGTCTATAAAGTATTTTTAAAGGGCATTCCTACGTAGAGCAAGAGGATTTTCTTACAAGTTAAAAAAGGAAGCTTTTACTAGTGGGAAAATAAGCGAAGGGATACGACCTTTCCTTAAAAGCACCTCAGGAGGACGAAAAGGTCTCGAAGCTACTCCCTATTTTAAGCTGTGCTTAATATTTAGTAGTTCTCCAAGGCTAAAAGGCTTTTCATTATACAGCCGTCTGGAATAAAAGGAAACACATAAAAAACCCACAAGCACCCCTCTCCGCCATTACCACCCTTTCCTCCCCCTTTTCTTCTCCACCAGTTAAGCCCCAGCCTCACAAGGCGAGTTTGATCTGGGGATGATAAATGTTTGTACAATTAATTCTTTATTGCTGTTTTTTCTGCAGTGCCACTTCCAGGCACTAATGCAGTTCCAGCACGTTTAAGTAAAAGTAAACGGTTAGGAATTAAAATAATTAAAGCACCGGGTCTGGTTAAAAATAAGTAAATAATAATAATAATAATAATAAAAAAAAAAAAAAAAAAAAAAACGGAACAGGACAGGACCCTGCTCTCGCAGTGCATGCGGGGGGGATGCTCTTATGCGGGCCAAACCCGCCAGCCCCCCCCCCGAAATGACCTTCGAGGGGGTTGCCTTGGGGGGGCCATTTCGGCCCCCAGCTAGCCTGGGGCACCCCGCGCATCGCCCCGTCCGTGCGCAGCTGACATTTGACGGGTCGGGGTTTGCGGGGAGTTTTTCATCAGCTCTCGGAAAAAAAACAAGCCCGCAAGATCCTTCCCACAGCCTCCCCCCCCGCCTCCCACCGCAATAATAAACCAAAAAGACTAGTGGGTGGAAGAGTAACACGTTAATGACTTTTGCTCAAATTGCTTCCATCTTGATCACATTTTCATAATTAGCACCATCATCTACAAATCTTTCCGCCCTGGGCATCTAACACAGACGGGCTTCCCAAGCGATGTGTATTCTACTTATTAGGGAGGGGAACACTTATAGGTCTGTCATTAATGGTTCCCTTTCAAATGAAATGAATCCGACCTCCACTGAAATATCAAAGGGCTGTAGCTACCTCGTCTCACTTGGTACAACACTGAATAGCGAGCAACCTTAAGTCGTTTTGCTCTAGTCAGACATCTATACAATAAAACATAAGCCCGCTCTTGTATATTTTAAGTTGTCTGGTGACCATTTCTGAAAACAAAAAGGGTCCCTTTGATGTGGTCTAATTCTATCAGAGGGTGGGACGTCAGATGTGGTCTACCGATCCTTTCTGGAAATATTTTTAATTATGCCCCAAAGCTTCTTGTAGCCCCAAAGTAATAATCAGAGAGCAGTTTAAGTCTGTTACTTAGAGTGGAGGGGAGAACAGGCTCTAGACCGTATGTAACTAAATTAGAATTACTACCTATAATGATCTATTAATTCGCTTGAAATGTGTAACTCTAAGTAGAACATGCTAGGTATCTATTATTCCTTATGCTTGATCCTGCTAACGGGATATTTCTAAGCCTTCTTATGGTTAAGCCATAAAGGCAGCATTTTCCCTGCAAGTCATAGGGTAACAGTGAGCATTTGAGGCAGATGTTTTTATTCTTACAGCGTGCTCCTACTGCAGAGCACGCAGGGCACTTGTGTTCGTAGCTGATATATTCCGATACACACGTTCAAGAGCTTTGTGACACAGCAGTGCATATTTCTATTCGGGTATTGCATAGAAGTAAGCCTCGAAAAACAACGTAAAAATTTTGAAAGCTCCTCTCCAGAAGGGGAAAAAAATAAATACTAGCCAAGTTTTTGCAATGAATCAGCTTTAAAAGTGCCGCGATTCCGGACGAGCTCTTCCTACGCGGTCCAACGCCGCCGCGCCCGCAGCTCGCTGCCCGGCTGAGATTTACGGGCTGCCCTGCTCTAACGAGAGGGAAGTTGCAATTTGTAGAGCAATAAATACCGAGGCGGTGGGTGGAGCCCCCATCAGAAAAATCGCCCTCATTCACCAATTAAAAATCCATCCTAGCTCCAACGTGGACCGTGGGAAGGTCTCAAGGAAAACAGCCTCGGTGATGATTAGGTGTTTGCTAGCGACTGAGCTAATGCCATCTTTTGAACGTAACTGTCTTGCCTGCTGCAGTTTGCTTTCACCTGCTGCTGCTGATGTTGGACAGAGGTTATAAAATTCAATTGATTTTGTTCAGCTATATTTTGTTTTCTTTGTGGCTTCCCAGTGAGGTTACTCTGCACCCTGTGAACATAATCTTGTTTAAACGACTTTCCAGACCACACAGCATCACATTACCCACCTTTATATGTGTAGGCAATATTGTTTATTGGATTGTACACTCTTAACTCCCGAAAAGCAGGAGAGAGCGGAGGAGGAGAGCCCTGGGCAGTAACTTCACAGCTTCCAAAGTTTAGGATGCTTTTTCAGGTGGAGAAAGTAAGATTTAGGTCATTTCAAAGGTAAATAGATGCAAAGACCTCTCTGAAGGAAACAAATACATAACAGGCATGCCATCAGTTCCCTCTTTATGTTTTTCATTTTCATAGTTACTTGTTATGCTTTTATGTAAAATCTATCTGAGGTCTTCAGACAGAATGGTACAGTTCATTCTATACTTACGATGTGAACCATTGCTATATTACACTTCAGACAATAAATTCATTTAGAACTTATAAGCTATAAGCCTCCATACTTAGTTTAAAGGCACGTGTGTTTTACTGATATCATTGTGATCTAACTATATATATATAACTCATCTGTTATATGTATGCATTTAAAATTATTATCATTAAATATTACTTTAAATTACTTAAATCATTATTATTTATTACTATTAAAAATATTATTATTGTTGTTTATAGATTATTCATATCGACATGCAAATGCGTAAGTTCCTTACTTTAGAAAATTTCAGTTACAGTCAGCAAGAGTTTCCTTGGCTGAGGACTGAGGGATTAATCCTTCATTCAAAGTCCATGAATTCACTATGAGCCTTTTATTTAATGCATGTGAATTTGGATCAGGCCCAATCTTATTACTAGAAAAATTATTTTCCCTTGTTCTAAGATAATTTGTTAATGGTTTATTGAATGAAAATATTCAAAACAATGAATGCAGAAACATTAAGCAAAAATTTCAGTCTCTTTCCTTGCTCTGTTGCTTATGCCTTTTCAATGCAAGAAAGAAAGGAAACAGTAGACAGAAATGTAACACTACCGAAATATGTGCCACGGTACAGTTCAGACAACTGTCATGTGGTTTGTAAAGATTTGTGGCAGGCTCAAACAGTGCTACAATAGGGATATTCAGACCATACAGAACTGCAAATTGTAGCCATGAAAATAACTGAACACAAGGGATGTGGGGAAGTCTAGAACAGGAGTGTGAAAACAATAGAAATGTAATTTGTTGATAACATGGGGACCAGATTTGTACACCTGCTTTATATGTATGATACCTCATTCATCACTTAATCTGAGCTCCTGGAAAATCTTTTTTTTTTTTTTGGGGGGGGGGGGTATCTCAGCGAGTGTTTTTGAAATCAGCTTCAAAGCATTTCTTTAGATTTACAGGGAAGTGTGGTGTAACTGAGAGAAGTATCTGGCCCATATCCATGATGTAATTGTGTTTTGTGCCTGAAGGGCTTGCTATTCAGATAAATCTCCTACTACTTTTAGAATCTATCCCCCTGTTACTTTCACAATCAGAGGCTTGTTATGATCTCGCTCAGCCCTGTAAATCTTTGGGAATTGAGTTACCTGAAGATAAAAGATCTCTCTTTCTCCAAGCTGTGGTTGGATCAACACTTTGCAAAGTCAGATGACAGGCATAAGGGTCAGGCTCAGGTTGGGCCTGGGCTGTCCAAGCACTGGAGATAAAAGCAGAAGGTAGCTGCCTTAGGGAAATCCCACGTGCATGACTGTAAGTCCCTGGAAGAGAAAACCTAGTGTCAGGAATTAACTACTCTGTATGTAAGACTAGTAAATGTTGCTTTTAAGCTTTCCTGGTTTTAGAAAAGACTACTTCAGAACAAGGTTTGCATCATCATATAACTGTTTTTTTTGTTTGTTTGTTTGTTTGTTTGTTTTCCCAAAAAAATCCCATTCATGCTGCATTCATGGTTACAGGTTGTCCTAAGGTGGTAATGATGTGAAGTATCTTGAGGATGTTTTGCCTAGATCAAGGGA